TAATCTGTCTATCACTTTTTTGTTTAGTCAGCTTATCATTTAGTCTATGAAATGATGAGGAGATGACTTCAAATGTCTTGTTTTGCCTGATATTAAGTTTACAGAAATACAGAACAGAGACAAGCAGAGAGAAGCTGCACCACAACAGTTTAATTAAAATTACAGTTATTCTTATTAGTATTGTAGTATTTAGAGCTTTTTCCTTGTTGAGTTTTTGTGTATTTGAGTGGAAGCACACCGCAAACCACCTTAGATTATAAATGCAGTGGTGTGTGGCACTGGTCCACGCTATAGGCATAGATGTACTTGTCCTATAAATACAAACATCAATAAAATAATTAATTCATTTTCTGAGTTCCAACTGACCGACCAATGGACCGATTGTTTCAGCTCTACTCTCTTTTATTCTCTATTCTCTCTTTTATTGTGATGGTGGGGGGAACAAATGCTATCAATTAGGGAAACAGAAGGTCCAAAAAATGATCCATGATAACTAAAAACTGCACAAGGCGAATCCTTAAGCAGACAGATACAAAACACATCAGATCAGACAAAAACACAGCAGCTGCATGGTGACTTCTCAGAGAATCAAGGTGAGCCCATATAGTGAGCTTGATTCTTTTTTTTAATTTACATCCCACCCAGCACCATCTTTAGCACCATTTTACATCAGATCTACACACGAGTGAGGAGGACTGGACTTATTCCTGCAGGCCTGGGGCTCTCATGCAGAGTCCTCAATGCAGACAGCAGTAGTTTTGAAGCCAGCGATGGGCAGTGGCCACACCAGGCCTCGATTCAGCACCGTGGACAGCAACATTGCAGCACAGACCACACAAACACACACAAGGAGGCTTATAGTCGACATACAGCTCTCTCTCACACACACACATACACACACACTGAAGCATCACAATGTAAGACACACACACACACACACACACACACACACACACACACACACTAGTCAAGCTGTTGTCATATTAGGCCTGATTATGTGTATTTTATGGGATATGTGCTCCTCTGCTGCCACTCTGGATGTCTGATGTCTGAACACGTATTCAGGCAGCTTTTACAGCGCTAAACCATTATCGACCAGCACCTCCCGAATCTGTGCACACATCACATCAAATCACACACACAGTCATTCCCACCCCCCAGAATAGATGGATTATTGAATATATAGTATAATGTTGTGGCGGTGTCAGGCCTGTTTTCTGTATTATTATTATCTTTATTAGATTATTTATGGGACCGAACCGGAGACTGCGAGGTTTTAGAGATGCTACAGACATCGCCAGCCTAGGGTGTGTCCCGAACTGACACATGGGGGGGGGGACTGTTTATTATCTTCTCTATAAAACCAAGTGAGTGATGGAGAAAATCTTAGACACTGTCATGCGATGGAATAAAGGTTTGTTCATGTTAGAAATAAGCGATGTGAGTGAAATAATAAACCCGTTATCTGAAAACAGGCTGAGCGTCATTTGTCGGTCACTGCAGCACATCAAAACATCCCAATTCATATCGCCTGGTAATGATGCGAGCTGTGACCATTTGCGTCTGCTAAAAACAACCCCCAAATATGTTCAGTGCAATAAGCAGTTATATTTCAGTGATCACGGTGGTTATGTTTTATCCAAGGGTGCCATTTACATGCCTGCGGGTTTTTTTTTCTTCTTAGGTTAATCAAATTGTCTACAGTCACAGATTGTGCCAAGAGGGCGTCAAATCAGCCAAAGGCAACCCGGCACATCCTCTAGATTCAACTAAAACTTTCAAAATCAACAAGGATTAACATGCATGGCCTTCATCATATATACGCATGTTTGGCATTAAGGGGGAGGATAACCCAAAACCTTCCCCGAGAACTGACTCACCGCTCTGCTCTCCCAAAAATACAAGTTTAAATTTCCTCAGGGGGTTCCCCAAATCTCCTCCAGCTGACATGATGGCAGATAAAAAGCTCAACGTTGATTATTTTTATATGTTCTTATCGCTCGGCGTCTCCTCCGTTGTGGGTGCGCAGGGGGATCCTCCTCTCCTCACAGAATGATGGGAATGCAGCTCAGCATCCTCCTGTCAATTTATGGGGCCTGTGCGCATGCGCGACCTCACCTTTTTCAATCCGTCACCTTTCCATTGGACCTGAAACAAAAAACTGGCTTTTATGGCTCAGATATGAGATAATAAATATATGCATGACGGTTACATAAAGGTAAATAAAAGTGCGGCCGATTACAGTGACGGTAGACTTTATAAGATAAAAATAGGTATGTTTACTCACTGTACTTTCAATTTATTTAAGTCAATTTATTGAGTATTTTCAGTTCATGCTAATTCTCATCCCATTTCTAAGATGAATAATATACCTTTTACACCAACATTATCTGCCTCACGACCATGCTGGTTATTGCTGCTGAGAGACATTTTTCACTAATAATTCCCGTTAATAATGACCTTCTTCCATCCTCACCCATGAAATTCAGAAAGCCTGAGGCCATTGCATTTGCTGTGTAGTAAGAAATTTAAATTTTCTCCATCTGTAAGGCTTCGCTGTACTTAATAAAACCTTTTTATATGCTGATATGCACCGATCAGCCATAACATGCAGACTGGGAACACCCCACAAGAGCTGAGGTTTTGGAGATGCTCTCAACCAGTCGATAAAAAAACTGGTAAAAATCTGTGTTTCTCCAACACTGTTGGCTCACAAGTCCCAGAGCTGCTACTAACGTTAGCTCAGCTTGTTTCTCTGATAAATTAAGATCCAGACATCCACTGACTAAAATCCTTCATCCAGATAAAATAGATTGTTAAAAACGACCAAGATATAAATAGTGCATCATAAAACTGGATACAAAAGTCAATATATGAGAGCTTCTGGCAGACAACCACAACGCTAATACATGCTCAGTTTGAATATGTTGTAAACATTTGGGATAACATCAGTAAACAACTCAACAATATATAAAACATAGGTATATTGTTTTTACACATTTTAATGTTGAAATGTTACAAATTATAGATTTAAATGCAAATATATGATTGATTTAAAGTTGCTATAATTGATATTTTTAATTTTGTCCAATCAGTTTTTTCGCTACTTCTATCTACACAGTCTGAGCAATCAGCACCAAATTTGGTTTGCGTAAATGTGCAATATGTAATTTCTGCCACTAGGTGGTCTTTCACCTCAAAACAATAACAAAAGACAAAGTTGATGAGGTTGTGAAGTAGCATCCAATCATGGGAGTTGTTGTCTTCACACCACAATTGCCGTCATTGCAGTCAGCTGCTCCCAGAGGTCTCCTCTCCTCTCCAAAACAAACAGACCTAGAGATTTAAACCAGTAACAACACTGAATAAAGCAGTTTCACCTTGAAAATCAGAGTATTGTGGAACCTGCTCGGCTGACATACAACCTCCTGGACAGCCTGCAAGCAGAGCTGTTGCTAATGTTAGCTTAACTGACAACATCAGATCCAGACGTTCCAGAGGTTTTTACCGGGACCCGAATTATCCCCAGAGGTTTCCTCATCTTCAAAACAAACTGATCCAGTGGTTAAAATAGATCATCCTTTTCCAGGATGACCTGGCTCACCTTCCTGTTGAGTTTGGCGGCTACCTCCTCCTGTCTCACTCTGTATTTAAGGCCATCAACATCTTGTCAAAGGCAACTTTGATGTCCTTGACGTCCTTCTCCCAGGTCTCTCCAGTCCTGTTGTGCACAGTGCCCCGGCTGAACTCTGCACTCCAGTTGCGATTGGCACTCTGGGTCAGACTCTGCTGCTTGTGCAGAGATGCCTCAAGCAAGCAGACCTTTTTCTTGTTGTCTTTGATTTCCGTCTCAATCTTTACTTTTTCTGGCTCTTGCTGACTTTGGCCTTCATTTTCCTTTTTCTGTTTTGGGCTCAGCTTATCATGACCTTGACTCCTCCACCACCGTCAGTTATATTTTGTTGCCCTTCCAAGTTATTAAAGTTACATTTTGTTGATTCGACCTTCTGGTGTGTCCTGTCTGAATTTTGGGTCCACTTTGAACTGAACAGACATCCCCCACACAATTTTAATAATCAGGCCTTTCACAAAACCAACACAGAAACTCATGCAAATGCAGCAATACAAAAAATGGCTGTAATAAAAGATATTGTTGCTGTACTGGAGAACTGCTGTATTGTCTTTGAAGTCGCCAATTGGTCTGTATCACTAGACACTTTTGTTTCCACTTTGCAATTAGTGACACTTTTTAGCAAAATATTATATATAAAATGATGTATTGACGCCAATATTACCTTTGCATACACATCTTTGCTGAAGTGAAGTGTTATTCTTGACACTGTGTCACAATAAAAAGTGTCAACAACTGATGTGAACATTAACGGGAACATTGTGAGACAGCAATCTTCAAAGTAACATTTTTATGACACATGCAAAAATTATGACAATCATCAATGATATAGCCTACGTAACACTCACATTACATTCTAGTTTTCCACTTTTTTAATACATTTGAAAGTAAAAGAGAGGAACAATGCGGTGTTTGACAGTGATATACATACAGCGTTCAAGCAATGGCTTTTCTTTGGTACAGCAACACTACTTGGACAAATATCACAAATATATCAATATATTAGGGGGCACATTTGGAGCATATTTAAATACTTACGTGTTCCACTTAATATGATTAGCAAATTGACTTTGAGTCAGTGGAGAGACCCTTAAGTGGCAAAAAAGTGTATTTAATGTTTTCTGTGGCCCTGCTATCAGAAAATAAAAATATTAAAAATATATGTATAAATGGAAATTATAGGCATTATTTTGTGGATATAGAAAGAAGCTTTGATTGACAGGAGGACTGTAACTATCAATTAAGTTTGCAATAATAATGCATCAATAATGCATCCTTAGCATAATTTTATTCAGCCCCATCAGTTAGCCAAAATAAACGCTCCAACATATCACCATTTTGTGCAAAAATGTCAAATTCACCCTCAATACTAATGTTCAAAATCAAACAGCTCTGCCTCCTTCTCTTTCCAGAAAGCAAAGCTGCGGTCAATGTACTTACAAATGTCTTCGTTATTGAAGCAAGAGAAGTCTGTGTCACTGCCACTCTCATCTGGAGTAGCAGTTTGAACTATAACTTTGGGTACGAGTCTGGAATCTGACAGCAGCAGTGATGACGCCGATGACGGACAGCGGCATGGTCTCGAGTCCCCAAAGAAGCTAACTTTGATGTCTTCGAAGCCGTCACTCCAATGTCGCCTCCCTGCTTGAATCTCCTGGAGAACGGCCTTGTGGAAGTCCCTCACCATCTCCCAGGGGAAACTGCCGACATGGTCAAAGACTTCGAAGCAGAGGAGGTGCCTCATCTTCCTCTCCTCAGGCGACAACTCCTGCTCCAAGATGTGGAAGTAGCCCAGCATGAAGAGGTCGAGGGTCAAGCTATCGTGGCTCAGTGAAACACCATCCACGTCTGGCAGGAATTGCTCTGGGGAGTAGGTTTCTCGCGGTGGTGGATTTTGTGAGGAGTTAGAAGAGGACAACAGGGACTTTTGAGCATCTTTAAGTTCTAGTTTAGTCTTCCAGGAGTTCAGCATTTTGTCCACAGCACCTCGCCGTTGGCAGAATTGAAACATGGAGGTCATCTTCTGTGGGTGCGATGCTCCCGCCGCTCTCCCTAACACTGCTTCCTGTCCCTGTTTCTGCCTCGCTGCTCTCACTGAAATAGCATACGCAGATTTCTTCCAGTGGCTCAGGAAAAGCACCACTATACGTTCTTTCCTTAAACTGGTTGTCTCCATCACAGGTACAAGTTTTTTAGGATCACAGTGGCTCACCTCACAGCTGAGGTCTGTGTTGGCGTTCTGGTTGCTTACTCCTGTGGATCCAAACACTACCTGGCCCCCTTTCACAACCCCAGCAAAGGGATAAATCCCACCAATCTGACCCTCGAAGTTGGACCTGAGGTTTCTGACCGACACCCCAGACTGCTGGATCTCCCTTTCCACCCTCTCCCGCCGCGCTCTGCTGTAGCTGTTAGTCTCCAAACGATGGCTAAATGCTGACACCATCCCTATATGAGGAATCCTGCATCCACTAGAGGTCTCACCATGTGCTGGCACTGTCTCTTGGTCCTGTTTCACCAATCCAAAATCAACTTCCAAACTATCTGTTACCCCCTGCAAACCCGTCATCTCCTCCATCATGCCTTCCACTATCTTCCTCTCACCCCCTTCTTCTGTGTTTTGTGTTAGATTAGCTACCAGCAGTGACATACTCTTAACAATCTCTGAGACACGACTGCACCACAATGGCAAAGTCTGTTGCATTTTCCCGTCGGAGTCCATCTTTTGTAGGACCTCTTTGTTGAGGGAAATGTTCACAATTGGATCAGGTAAAATCGACCTCAGCTCCTCCGTCAGCCGGGTCAGCTCCAGTTCATAGGCCTGGCAGCGCTTCTGCAGGGAAACGGTCTCGATCTGCTGCTGCAGGTACACCAAGTCATCCTCTGTTAGGAGCTCACCAAAGGGCCCCAAGACTGCATTGTGGGTTTGTGAGTATTTCCAGCCATCCACTGGTTGACAGCCATTAGTCATGTCCTGTTAGAGGGATGAAGAGATGTTAGCAAACAATCCTGAGAGAAGATGAGTTAGATGAGAAGACGTGGTGTTATGTGCTGGACTATTTTCTGACCAGGAGAACCGATTTCTTTAAGTTGTGTCATCATCATGAGGTTTGAAATTACTGCTCCTATCCAACCTATCCAGCGACGTGGTGTTTTTACACTTGTTTTTTGTATGCATTAAACAAACAATATGTTACTTGTTATTTGTAATCTATTCTATATACTTTATTTCAGTATTTCTGCTAAGCTAAGGTAACCGGCTGCTGTCTGGAGTTTCATACTGAGTGGACAGACATGAAAGGGGCATCAATCTTCTAGCCTAACTATTGGAAAGAAAGAAGAAAAATATTCCTTTACAAAATCATCTTTGAAGAAGAGTTGACTGACATTAACTAAATACTGGAAAATACAACAAAATTAAAACAAAACAGTGAAACTGATACAGTTTTATCAACCTCAACACTACGGGAGAAAATATATGCAAAATGAACTTCAAGAATTCCTTTTTCTTATGCATGTTTCTAGGTTCTGTTGTACAAAACTTACTATTTACACACAGATAAGAGGCTCAAGGTGTCTCTAGTGTCTTTTGTGGTTTCTTCATACTTTGGATTCGAGTGTCATTTTTGTGGAGTCTGTGCATCTTGTATCTTATGTGTCATTTTGCTGTATGAAACCTTGACTCTTGATATTCGGCTAGCATCAGATAAATTCAGTATTATTCCTCCAAGAATCAGGTCAATCACTTTTAGACGCACTACACCTTTTTCCTCTTGACCATGTGTGCTCTTTTGCAAAGGCTCTATTCTCCCCCTGGTGGGCCCACCCTCTAGTTTGAGAATATGATTGTACATTGATTTGTGCACATACATACAGCACTTACAGACTCACATATAGCACAGTAGTACAGTTGAGTACCTGTCTCCTCTGTTCCTCCTCATCCTGCAGCCTGATTTGCAGCTGCCGCACCATCACCTGTCGTTTCCACTCTGCTATGGGGCGGCCAGCTTCATCGTGAGTGGGCACCAGGGAGTCGATGTCAGCCAGGATCACATCGACGATTGGTACCTCCTCCAGGAACTCCTCGCTGTCAAGCTTCTGTTAGTGTTCAACAATGAAAGTGACACTGCTGTTTGAGGAAATATCACCAGTATCATACTATCATAAAAACCTCACAGAAGTCTTTCTGATGCTCTTCATAGATTCTTTATTTTATTCTCTGGAGTATTATGATTATCATCTGTGTACCAGTGGGTCCTAAAGTTATATACTGTATATTAAAAACAAAACAGTATTAATTAAGAGGCCATCAATGGTTTGTGCTTACCGTAGCTAATGGTTAATTAGCCAGAACAAGTGTAAATAACTGTATCTATGTCCTGGTAGAAATGTAATACAGTATTCATAGGTATGTTTTGATCAGTCTATAATTATCTGAAAATACCTTAGAATTAGCAGTTTTGATCTACAGAGGGAGCGGGTCCTCTTCTAAGAAGGCCGCCATTTTTCTACAGTAGCCCAGAATGGACAAAGCAAACACCGGCTCTAGATAGGGCGAGTTTCATGGCTATCGTCGTTTCCCCTTCACGCTTGGAAGGGGAGGGTGAAGTGCGGAAGTTGCGATCTGCAGCTAAATGTACGTGTATGTACATGTACATGTATCATGTAGAGCTTGTCTACAGTTTATTTTTGTATCAGTATACAGTATATTGTTTATAATTCCCTATTTACCCTGAAGGCAATATCATCCAACTTTTACGGGATTTATCTTGACGGCAGTGCCAGCCGGCTCACCGTTTGTCCAGTGAAGACCGCGGTGAAGCCAGCGTGTCTCAGAGACTTAATAGACTTCATGTGGGACATCAGGGTGAGATCCCTCTCTGGAGGCTTCAGATGGTTGAATGATGTCACCACTGTAAACCAGCATAACAAAGGCTAAAGGTCAATTATTTTAAATTAGTCAATATGGCAATATGTCATATTAAAAGCACCAGTTATGTGTAAAATATATTTGATGTGTTATTTAATAGATAGATAGATAGATAGATAGATAGATAGATAGATAGATAGATAGATAGATAGATAGATAAAAATATTTTATCTATACCCGAAGGGAAATTATAATGTTATAGCAGCTGATTAAGAGTCAATTATTATTAGAAAGTCTTATTGCAGTGGGAAGGAACGATTTTCTACATCGTTCCTTTGATCAGCGGGGATGAATGAGTCTGTTGCTGAATCTGCTCTTTAGCTTGTCAAGTGTTGTGTGTTGTAATATTGTTTAATTTAATTCAGTTCATGTTTAGTATTGGTTCACTTTCAGTTTCATTGATTAATTGTAGTCACTGTGGCTATTCTTTAATATAAATAATCGGAAAAAAGGTAGGCAACATAAAACATAAAGTGATTTTCAGTATATACTCATATAATGAATAAATAAATGAACAGTTACAGTTATAAATCACCAAATAACATGGCTGACAACAGCAAATGCTATTTACATATATGACTGACGTGTGGTCTCTCTGTTAATCACCTGAGGAGGCCACTTGTACATGCTGGATGGAGCCTGGGGAGTGTTTCTTTGATGTGGCAGCAGGGGTCAGAGAGGAAGAGGTCACAGGAAGTGGAGAAGGGTGGCGAGGCAGGGGGAGCACTTCCTTCACTGGCTGCTGGGGACACACACACAAACAGCAGGGGTGAGCCATGCTTAAAGGGACAGTTCAACATTTTCTCCCACTTAAGCTAATTCAGTCTGTTGTCAAACTGAGGGGCGGGCCCCCCTGGTGGGGCATAGAGTCACTGCAGCTGGGGCGTGGATGAGCAGTGGAAAAAACATAGAGTGGAACAATATGATTTATGTAGAGAAAATAAACTAACAAGTGTTTGCTGATAAAAATTGTCAGCTTGGATCCTTTTTTATTAGTTAAATCGTATCGAACCGTGAGTTGAGTGTATTATTAAATCTCTAGCAAATAGCTTTTATTTATATGCTGATATTTTGTGATTTCTGTAAACTGATCCTTTAAAAGTACATGATATCAGAATATAACAAACTCTGCTTTTAGCCATATACCTTTTTTCACAATGTATACTTTTGACATGTCATGGAAAAGCATGCAGGAAAAGCACAGGAGTACAAATGGTGGCTCCTTTCCAACAATTAGTGATGTTTATCAGTTACACCAGTGGGTTAAAGTCTCCTACTGTGCCTGCACTGATGATTGGTCACCTTGCTGTTCTCCATGTTGGCTCTGCTCATTCACAGTCCGGAGATTCGAAGCAGCAGGAGTTCCTCTGTCTGAAAATGGCAACACGAATATAAAGAAAGACCCCTCCAAGAGAGAAATGTGAGAATCACACAGCAATGAGTATAAACGATTCAAAAGTAATCTTCTAAGAGACGGAGACCCCCTTGATGGTGCACACACACACACACACACACACACACAAACGCCCAATGTAAAGAACAGAGGCCACAGCTTGTAGTACTTGGAACAAAAACAAGAAGTGGTGAAACAGGACCCTCGTCAGTGAAAGTAGCGTAGGCCACACAGAGTGCAGTACAAAGTGTGTTAGAGTTTAGAGAGACATGATATCCTGCTTCAGGTAACCCTACTGATTCACAGCTCCATGCCATTCAATAGCCCAACTACTACACGGACAATTACAATGTTTCTTACAATTAAATGCTCACCTCAGCGTAAGAAGTCAGATGACTTGTTAGTGGTGGTTTTGTAAATACAACATACATCACCATAATTTAAAAGGATTTAAAGTACATTTAGCTTCTAATATCTTCATTCCAGCTTTGACAATTCTTTAAGTTTTAATTGCCTTATTTAGTGCATTTACCAATCTGGTACCAATGATTTGGTTGGTGTGTAATATATTTGCAAATAAAATATGAAGCGTCACAGACATTGTGGTATTTGCCATATGTTTTTAGTCTGTAACAAATTTTCATTGCTGCCTATCTTAGTCCAGACACCATTGAAAAGGAGATTTTATTTTATCTCAATTAGACTTGGTTGGACCTGTTTAAAGAAAGATTTAATTTCAAATGCCACCTGTCCAAAATACAAATTTCTCCTTTACTACCAGATTTTTCTTTTAAAATCATTCGATGTGATATATTTCCTCCAGTCATCATAATCTAAATGCACAAATATAAAGCATGCAGTACTTACAATGTAGTCCAGAAACAGCAACAAGACAGTAGATAAATACTGGGAGGTTTCAAAAATAATAATAATAATAATAACAGAAAAAACATAAATAAAAAGGAATAAAGTCCAGATGGTGTTGTCTCTGTACTCAGCCAATACACAGTAAGACCAAGGAGCAGCATCACCTGGACCCAAACCTCAGATGGGGGGCCTTCTTAGTGTGCATAATTAAAGAAGCGGGATAGGATGACCTGCACCTGGAAGTATAGGACAATAGCTCTGTGAATGTATGTAGGAGACAACATACTGTAGACTCGTGGGGCAGGTCTAGTCTGTGCTTGAACACCTCCTCACATGTTCAGATGTGTGTGTTTGTGTGTTATGACACAAGATGACAGCCACACTACATCCACAGCTGCTTGACCATGGCCTCCTGTGGCACGAGTTGTGGACTTCTTGTGGCATAGAGAACTGGCTTTGGAGCAGCATGGAGTTTATTTATTTTAGGTTTTATTAATCATCCTGCCACCAGCTGTTGGTTTCATTATGTTGCTATAGCAACCCCTATTGGCACAGTCACACCGCAGTTAAGCTAACGTCATTATGTCCACCATTTTGTCAGAGCTATGACCAAGCATAAATACTGACACACACCTTTTTATCTATTACCCAAATACCCTTGTTGGAGTATTATCTTTTATTTTGTTTTATTATAGCTGTTTTGTGACTATTTGAGTTTTCTTGTGATCAATTTACTGCTAACCAAGCTAGCCTAGTTATCAGGGGCTAACTGTTTATTTACTGTTTACTTTTACTGTATTTTACTCTTTTTACTTTTATGCTAGTGAACCACACTATATGTATATGTTTACTAGATTCATTATCTGGTAATACTTTTCTTTGTTTCTTCATACGTTATATTCTGGAATGAGAGACAATTTAACTAATTTAAAAGTTAACGTAGTCTATACTTTTGTGAATCCAGTTTCCTTGTTACTTTAATCAGGGGCGTGTCCGGGGGGGCGCCTGGGGTGGCACTGGCGATCTCATTCTTTTTTTTATTTGTAATCACTATCATTTCATTGGTTGACGAAAAACTGTTTTCACGTTCACCTTTTTCACAGTTTTTTTCAATATCAAAGGCCAGTTGCTGCCTTCAAACCATTGACAGTATATTCTTATCGTATAGTATGTGCTTCAGACTTTACTGGAAGTGTCTTTGGCTCGCTGCATAGCTGTGCACCTACAGTACAAACATAGTGAGGGGGGCAGGATGACAGGTAGACAGAGATATGGAAACAGAAGCACAACACATGGTTAAATATTCAACATTCATTACATAGAAAAGAGCTTAAGCCAAATGTATTGTTCATCAATAGTGTACTGTAACTGCCCCTCACTCAGTCCCGGGCCTTTGAGTGGAGCCCAGTATTTCTGCGTCTGTTATTAGGGGATTAGTCCGACTGGCCTTGCTGCGGCTGAGCACATGGTGAGTGCATAATCAATAATGGAAGGCTGCACATACACAGAACAGTCTCAGGCACATGTTCACCCTGTGCAAAAGTACAAACCGTTATGCAACAGACATGAGAGCTTTTTGTTTTGTTATCCATTTGCTGTGTAAAAGTCTTGTTCTATTTCTTTAATATGTTAAACCTGATGAGATTTCTGTACTTGCCGGGAAGACATCATATTCCTATTTGACGACATGTTAATCTGCAAGTTGCATTCGGACAATTGTGTTTTTTCATTGAAGGGGAATTCAATATCTGATATAATTCTGTTATGGAAGAAGTCAACCCTTTCTTTATATTGTGCTGATCAAACAAATATGATAAATGTTTAATAAGAGTTCAAACTTAATACTGTGGAAAATAGAATTCTACAGTTATTATTTATATTGGAGAAATGTAACCAACCAACCTGTCTTATATTTCTATAACTATTTTCCTATTGGTGTCAAGGTGAGTCATTGTGACAATACAATAACAAGTAAAACAACAACAGAACAAAACAACAGAGCTGCAAACATCTACTCATCAATCTACCGTTACATTGAGGTTTCAAGTGAATCAACTGTACATGCTGTGTAATGTATAAAGGCAACAATAAGACACATCACACTAAGATGTTGCATAAGTTTCAACACTCATTTATTTATTCGCCTTATTTTGTTTCTTGACAACTTTTGTTACGTGTCCACAAACATGAGAAAGAACTCCAGAACACTCAAAAGATAAACGTGAGCACTGAGATTAAGACTTCATCACAGGCTGGGACCTGTGTCTGCTTCTGTCAAGCAGCTCAGAGCAAGAGAGCAGACCTGGGATCATTTACCCGGTCCACAGTGACCACCTCACCCACACTGAGCTGAAATGTGCAAAACTGATCTCTGATCAGCGCTCTTTACTCTGGGGTGACACTTGACGAAGCAGCAGGCCAGTTATTCTTATTCATCATGGTATACAGAGGAAGAGAGAGTTAATATCATCTGTGTGATGAGACCCAACACAGAAAATCTCCATTTATATACAAGACAGAGCCAAGAGGAAGGTTTCCAGTTAGTCATTACAAGGATCATGAATGACAATACTTTACAAGCAGCACTTCAGGAGGGGGGAAAGCTGTTGTCATTAGCAAGCGGTAAGGCAGGAGAGAGGGACAGAGTACAGCAGAAGATAAGAGGACCTGCATGCTTTCGATCCAGCTATGACAGTTAAAAAGCAGCCAAATATAAAATAATCAACTAATTTACCTTTCAACAATTATCGGCCAGTGCACTAAAACTCTCTCACAAAGTGTTTTTTTTATTTTTTTCAAACATGATACCTGTGAACTATTAGGGTTAGAAGCACTGCAAGTTATCTGCCAGTCGGAAACTTAAAATAAATAAATGCAATTTGGTTCAGTGTTGTTAGTGGTTTGATTGCTGAAGCAAAAATAGCAAAGTTTCAGAATCTAATCTTCTCCACCCGTCAGGACAGGGCTGTTATATGTTTTAAACACAAACCAGGCTTTTCCATACATTCTTAAAACATAATCATACGAAATCATAGTAAATAAAGATGCTTTGTGCATGAGTGCAATATATTTTAAGGACATAATCCATCTTTCAATTTTTACAAATATTCTGTTCCAGCAGACAACATAGAGGATATATCTATTAGCATTTTACAAAACAGTTTATTATACCTAGATGACCCAAAAATGACCATAAATAAATAATGTAATGCCATTGATTTATTATGCTAACAAATAATTTTAAAAATAAAAGAAGGCACAAGTAACAACACATCTAAATGACCAGCTTTGTGGTAGTCAGATTTTGAACAATTGTTTAAGTATTAGGCTGCATTGCCTAACAGGTTGGTTGGCCTGTGGCATGCAGAGTCCTGAATACGTTTACTGATTGTAAGTCAGGTTTGATAAAAAACTGAAAACAACCAGTCAGACAAGAAACAAGAGAATAAATCAGGAAAGACGAAATGGTTGGCTGACCACGTCTTTGATAGAGATTTACAAAAGAAGAGGGTATGACAACAAATACAGATAATATCCCTTTAAATGCAAATCATACAGTACAATACAAATTCCAACCAACATTTGGGGTCATCTTGGTATAGTGCAAAATAACATACAGCAAGTAAAAGCAACTAGAAACCATCCCTGGACATAAAAGTCATAATAACACCAAGCTAATCATACTGTACTGGTTTCTGACACAAGCATCAGGCTGTCAAATATCTAGCAGCTACAGTACAAAAGCTGAGAGGGGGATTGCTTTTAAATGTGACATTTACAGTCAATGATAATGAGATTTACGCCGTACCGTACTGTTATAGGTTATACCAACATACTATATAGCATCATTGATAATATTCACTCTCCAAAACATCGACATAGATCATCAATATAAAAAAAGACCCCTAGCATCTACTTTTACTCTACATAAAAGCTAAATCTTGGACACATATAACTAACTTTTAGTGTTGATGTCAAAGACGGTGATGAAGGAGGGAGAGAAGAAAACAAGGTGAAGAAAGGGAGGCACTATCTGGTGCATGGACAACGCTCTTGCCCACTCAAAGCAACTGCCTTCAACAGATTTCAGGTCCATGGTCAATTACAACTTTCCATTCAGCTACTAGACAATAGTAAACTTATTTTTAACGTAGCAACTCTGCTGGCCCATCACAGACAGAATAAGTGCTTATTTAATTAAAGTAAAACTATCCACATACTGTACAGTTGTCCTCTTGGGAGTATTCATCATGTAAAACATCTTAGGTTAATTTGGGTATAAATGATTAGTTTAAAGATAAAGTTCAACGTTTTGGGAAATACGCTGATTCGCTTTCTTGCCATAAGTTACATGTGGAGGTTATGCATAAAACCAATGTTCCCTGAGGGAGGGAAACTCGGCACAACCCATCAGTGTGAAGACTGCAACCTTGCAAAGATATAACACACTGGTTTGCACCAAAGTCACGGTTAGCTTAGCATAGCATAAACACTGGAAAAACCTGGTAAACAGCTAGCCTGGCTCTAATACAATAAATACTCAGCTGTAGAGGTGATGGTAGACGGATTTTGTTACATTTAGACTGAGCCAAGCCAGCTGTTTACCCGTTTCCAGTATTTATGCTAAGCTAAGCTAACCGGCTGCTTGCCGTAGCTTCATATTCACCATAGAGACCGTTGACAATCGTCTCATCTAACTCCTGGCAAGAAAGTGAATACGTGTATTTGCCAAAATGATTCAAAACAGTCTCTTTAGTATCGTAAATGTCTGCTAACACAACTGCACAGTGGACGATGGTTTGAACCAATTAAAGCAAGAAAATAATGCTTTGGTTAAAGCAAACTGAGTAAATGATGCAATACATTAACTCAATAAAGACAATAAAGTGCCATGCAACAAAACTGGTCAGTGGTCCTGTCACAGATAAATATCAGTGCAGAGAACCTACAATAGCAACAATAAATAACATTATTCTTTATGTTTATACGTACAAGGTTATTGTAAAAAATTAAATAAAAGAAGCACATACTGAAAACAAGGCAAGGACATAAGTCTCCTGATAAAATAATTATTTTGTCTAATCAACAAACTCAGTTTTCATGGACCCAGTTAAAAAAAGCGACACAGGAACAACAACTTACCCTTTTGTCCTAACAAATCCCTCATGCTACTTCAATGTTAAAACGACAGTTTGCTTTCTGAAACCTCTGCAGTAAAACAAATACTCTATGCTGTAGAGCACCAAGCCTATCCAAACTGAGGTAATGTACAGTATATGATGGGTGCTTGTGGAGCTATCATCCCTGCACTTACACAGAGAAACATCTAGTTTGATGTTTTCTTTTTTCCCCCTCACCTGATGGCGTTATTTTGAAATACATGAATGGCTGATTTAAAACTGGGGACTTATTTTCAGTTATTATGAATGAAGGAGGGACTGACCACGTACTAACTTTCTACAGGGAACTGGTAGCCTTACAGATGACAGAGTTCTACATGAAAACTAATCAGAACTAGTCCCAATGCCCAGCAGAGGTAAGTTAATTAACAGGTTTGGGTGGTTAGTTTGCCTTATGTTTCTTCTAAAGGGAGCACACCATGCAGGGTTTTGAGGTGGCGACTGCAGAAAACAGAGACAGCTTTTCTTGGGTTGAGCGATCGAGTGATGTTTGGGACTGGGAGAGTCGTCATATACAAGGTTATTTAAATGGTTGTATGTGTTTGTTCATATGGTCTATGTTCATTAGAGGAAGATGATGAGTGGAGCTTTTAGATTGTATTGTTTTGTTCGTTTGTTTGTTGTTTTCCACCAGGCTGGTTCACCTCTCACATCCTCTGAGCAGGCGGGGCCGACTGGATCGACTTTCTCCGGGAGAGCTTTGACCTGAGGAGAGGAGATCAAAGAAACAGGGAGTTAGAGGAAGGAATAGGAACTATTTGAAGAGTAGTTGTGGTTGTGCTTTATTGTGTGAGTCCTGAAATTTCTTAATCATTTCCCAGGAAGTTTCTAGAAAATAACTAAATAATTTGGCAGTAATTATAGAGACAAGAGACAAAATGTTCTGAGACAGTTATTTAAGTTTACTTCATAGTGTTGATTTAATAAGAAGTTGTTAACTTTCCTGAAAAGAATCTTAATGAGGAAGATAACTGAGATTCATTAAAGATATATTAATGTTCTACATATTTACTACATATATTTTACTCTGAGGGATCACCACATACTATTGTTTAACAAAATAATGATTTAGGTTTTACTGTACTGACATTTTTCACCTCTTCAGGCCTAAAATCAAATGAAACAATATAATAAGCACTCTTTGGTTAAGGTGCTCAGAACTCACAGGTCAGAGGTAGAGTGTGTGTCGCACAAAAATACACTACTGTCCAAAGTGGTGATACGTAAGATATTGACGGTATACAGAAAATTAAAGACTGGATCTCTGACAGATTGTATTTTAATTTTTTTATGATATGATGATATACAGATCTGGATACCGATCAATAAACTTGTATACCATTGGAACTTTCTGAATACAGTTCCTTTTTGACCTGTTTATCTCCATTTTCCAGGTAATAAGTACCAAATTACATATTCCTATCCAGGAATCTTTCTAATGATTCACAGTTATTTTCTCTGTTTCTATCTAGTTATATTGTGAAATAGTTACGTTAGATAAATGGGTTAATCTGTGTTGCTAATAGCTGTTTTTACCAGTTGTCTGTGGTCTGATTTTCCCTCTATAGTTTCTCCATCACTCACCTGATGGTGCCAGCTAACAGAGGGTTAAAAGCGTACAGCCAGTCGTGCATCTCTTTGTCATTGGTGGCCTGCAGCAGTATCCCACGATGCTCAGTGCACACAGCAAACGTGTTGGGAGTCTGGAGACATGAAATAAAGAAATAAGTTCATTCAGGTTCAGTGGGTTACTATTTATTTATCAGTTTTACTATTGAAGTGAAGCTTGGACGTACCCGCAGTAAGGTCTGTTTATCTTCGCTGTATTCCACCTTTGCTGACGACAGATTGATGACAGCTCTCTCCACGCTGTCCCTCTCGCTGCGGTACAGGTAGACGTAGGGCCGGCGCACCACCACGTAACGCTTCACCCAGCCGCTGGTGTGGGGCTCCAGGAAGTGCAGGTAGCCTTTCTTTGAAACAATGGGGCTGCATACAAAGAAAGAAATACTAATGTTAAATGATAAAACTTGACCACAACCTTTGGTAAATGACGCTTGTTGCCCAAATGAGAACAGATGAGTTTGCAGTTTACAAATAAAATGTTGATTCTATCCACAGTGACTCAGGATCAAGTGTGTGTGTGTGTGTGTGTTTTGTGTGTGTGTGTGTGTGTGTGTGTGTGTGTGTGTGTGTGTGTGTGTGTGTGTGTGCATGTGTGTGTAGTTGTGTTTGTGTGTGTGTGTGTGTCTGTGTTCTGACCTGACTCGAATCTCCTGTATGTCAGGAACAAAGGTGCATCCTCTGAGAGCTTTCTTTCTGTCCACTGGACTGTACGGGTCCAGATCCGGTGTGGAAGCTCCTGAACTGGGTTCAGTGTGTCTACACAACATAAACAACGTGTTCATAATGTCACAAAAGGCACTGTGTCTCGGCCTGTTCATCTGACTAACTCTTTTTCTTAATTCATCACAAAAAACAAATGTTAAATTCTCATTTTCATTGTCTTTAATCGAGTATTTTTATTTTATGCTACTACTTCCATTACATTCATTTGATACCTGTAGTTACTATTTACTTTGCAGATTTTCCATACAAAACATAACTAACCTTTAAAATATGATATTAAAATTCAGCAATAATAATCCAATAGTATGTTATACACAATAATAAAACTCTCTGAAAGGAGCTATTTTGCACAAAGAGTACTTCAAGTACATTTTGCTGATCATACTTCTATAATTTTTCTTAAAGCAGCAACAAGTAACTTTCATTTTGTGTTGATTCTGGCGGCCCCTGTGGACAAAAGCAGTTGTGTTTACACTGCCAATCCAACTGAATCTGACGTGGCAATTAAGAACAACAATATAGAAAGGAATAGGTTTGAATTGAGAATGTTGTATAACCAATTAAAAACTCCTTTAACTACATTTAAGTATATTTTTTGAATACTTATTCCACCACTGCCAATTCTCATATAAATAATCATTTCATACCAATCAAGAATGGATATAAAATGCATATTTGAACATTTGACACCCTACTTTTCTTATAAAAATTTGACAGAGGGACCAACAACAATCGAAGAAATTGTTTAGGAAAATTTAGGAAAATTTAAGCGAAGCTGCAGTGCACAGCAAAGCAAGAACCATCTACTGTATCACCAAAGATGACACTGTAATCCAAAGGTCAAATTATCACTTGATCATAAATTATTCAAAATGTTCTTGAAACACAACATATACTTTATTTATCTTCTCAGGAACAGTAGACGGAAGTATCTAAAACCTGAAAGGCCGTTACGCTGTATAAGCTGATACTGCATGTAGTTACATACCTAATGTCATAATGTCCCTCGACCAGTGAGGGGCAGGTAGAGGACGGAGTGAGCGTGCTCAGTCCGGACGAGGAGGAGTCTCTCATTAGCGACGCAGACATCTCAGAAAGCTAAAACACACACAATCACACACACAAACACATTCACAACAAACCATGCATGGAGAAGCACACACACACAAGACAAGAGGGACAAATACAAATACAGACAAAACAAACCGGCAAACAATTAAGCACATACAACACAGACATGCATTCAGAAAACAATTCAATCAGACAATTTGTCATTTTCTAGCAATGTACTGCAGAACCATCTCTGTACCACTGTAATAATAATCCTCATTATCTAAGAGCCCCTCACTGATTAACATGTTAAAGAGGACATGCAGGAGTAACATCGGGTTAGTGGAAGCCTCGCAGAGTCTAAAGAGGAGGGACAGTGAGGGATGAAGCTGGGTAAAGGAGGAGGGGAAACTAAATTATTTTAAAAGGTATGATATACGGACACATACAGTAGACATGAGTCAATATTATCTCTCATCCAGCTGGTTCAAACAAAGTCTAAGAATTGTTTGTGAATAATATCTAACTCAGGTCTACTGAGTGGTTAAGACATAAAATGAGATAAAGGAGAAAGAAATCTTCAAAAGAAGAATCTGAGCTGGGAAAATTATAATAAAACGAATAATGGATGAATGCAGCGGGCAGAGAGTGGCTGAAGTGCGGGGCTTAAATATTTAGCGGTAAAGGTTCAGAAGGATTAACGGGCCGGGTTAGAGGGCCTAGGCTGGGGCTCACCTTGCTCTCACTGGCACTGCTGCTCACCTGGCTGTACTCCCTGTTGAAGGTGTGCATCAGCAGACGCAGACACTGGAAAGAAGAAAGTGAAAGAGTTTTTTTTTAAAAAAAACAATAAAAAAAATAAGCTGAGACGAGTATTCTTGAGGCCTTTAGAGACCAGCAGTCACCTTGGCAGCCAGCTCTCTCTGCCTCTGGTTGGGGCTGTCTGGTGCAGGGCTGCTGCCGGGACTGTGGCTGAGGACAGGACTCTTTGCAAAATCGCTGATGTCGCTGCTCTTGTAGAGTGCATCCTGTCCTGCCTGCAAAGTCGCCTCCAGCTTCTCCCTCAGCAGCAGATAGTGCCTGGTCTTCTCCACCTGAGAACACCAGCAGCATTTCAATAGGTTGAGCCACAAACACTCTCCTTTGTTGAGATATCAACATAAATTATTTGAGTTTTTTGTCCTTGTTCAAGCAAATGTTGTTTCTATATATGCACTTATTCCAATAAAAGACACTTCCCTAACTTATTTTCCAGTTGCCATCTCTCTTACAAACTTCAGGCTACACACTGACCTCCTGCAGTAAACTGAGTTTCTCCAGCTCCCACTGGTGGTCCAGAATGAGGCTGTCACTGCGAGGCCTCCACCCAGCCAGGTTCTCCTCTCCTCGGACGTACGCCACAGAGGTGTCTAGCACACGCCTGCGACGGCGCTGCATGCCTGAAGAAGAAGAAGAATAAAAGGTTCTGTGAATATTGTAAATGAAAAATACAAACAAGAGTAGAAATGCTTTGGTTTTTTCTGTTTTTTCTCACCTGGACTACCATTGTCTGCTACATGGCAGAGGGTGACTTCATAGACTCCAGTGACACGGTTACTTAGAAGGAGAGAGGCGAAATTTCAGAATTAAATTTAAAAGAAAAAGTGATTAATTCAACTACAACTACATTTCTTAGATAGAGAGGTTGTGTAATCAGGCTGTATGAATCCATAAATCTGTACCTCTCAGAGGGCCGGAGGCAGCCGGTGCTGAAGAGGTTTCTGATGGAGCGAGAGGCTGGCAGCTTCGCGTCACGGGAATAAAACACCATGCAGAAATCTTTGGTGATCACTGTTGGCTGAGTGCAGTTCTCCATCTAGTTAAAATATATCAGACAGTAACAAATCAGTGTTTTGTTATAATGTGGCACAACTGTTCTTGGTTTAGGTAAAATGAATCACATGTCATCTCCAGTACCTCTAGATAAGCAGAGAGGGTGATGTAGATCTTCTCCCCATAGGGAGTGACTCTGTTCAGAAGCAGAGAGTTGTGCATGGAGCTGTCCCATGCTGCCTCAAATCGGTAGAAAGTTCTGCAGCGCGACATACAAACATGTTATCATTTTATCTGCACGATTTTTAAAGAAGAAAAGTGAATCAACCTGATGAAAAGCCCCAGAGCAAATGGACATTTTGTTATCAGAAGCAATTATTGAAAAGATAAAAAAATGATTGTCAATTTATACCTATGATCAACTCCCAAGGAGACGCTGCCATTAACAAAGGATAAAGAGAAACAGGACACGAGTTAGAAACTTTTAACTGCAGCTGTTAAAAGTTTGAACCCAGCAAATAATACTGATCCATGCAAACTGAAAAATGCATTGAAGCAAAATCATAGTTGACTATAAAAGGTAGGCTTAAGCAATGTCGAGCAGCCGATCTGCCGATATGATACAGGTTTGTTAACGAATTACAACTGTTGTTTAATATCATTCAGTAAATTAAAAATCTATCTAAGGTCATACTTGTCGTTGTGTTTCGGCCAGAAGTATCCAGAAGACAGGATGTTCAGGGAAAGGATGTTAGGGTCTATGATGGTCTCATCTGCCTCCGGTGTGTTTCGGATACGACCTGAAGGCAAACGTGTCACGATGAGAGAAAAAACTGTACTTTTAAAGATTTCTTTCCTCTAAAATTGAACCAACTTGGCCTCATCACTCACCAATAACCAGCTCCTTCACCTCTTTCCACTCAATATCATTTCCTGTTTCATGAGCGATGGTGACCGTGATCCTCCTCTGAATGCCCTGTAGAGTCGAGAGAGAAGATGAGAGGTAAACCAGCTTGTTACGAGTTCCAGTGGTGCTGTTGCAACAAGTTTAGACATCTGGAATGTAACTGATATATGCAATATATAGTAGTAACATATGTAACTGGGACAACATGACAGTAATTGAATGTAACATGCTCAGACCTGATGTAAGAGGAACGTGCCGTGGCAGGGCATCCCTCCTCTGTGGTCAACAACAGCTGGGATGTAGCTACAAACAGGAAAACAATCAACACATTAAAAGGTTAATACTCAAATGTAAAACTGACATGACCTTTGCATTCACTGCTGACACAGAAAGATGTGTTCATATGACCTACTGCAGTGGTTCCTTTCCTATCATTGAGTCAACTGATGAGCCCTGAGTACTTCATGGATATTTCGGTGAGTAGATTATTTCCTGTATATTGCATCAGAGGTGCGTTTTTCCTGATATTTTTAGGAACTTTTAATACAATTCTTTGTCTAATACATATATTTTTTTAACCAATAAACATATATAATAGGCAAATTCAGTGTCTTTTCTCCCAATTGTCCATTGTTCTATTAGCCTTTTGTTTGTTTTGTACTTTTCTAATGCAGGACAAGGTTGTTCAGCAGAGAGTGAAGGTTCTGTGAATAAGAGGGTTTAAATCGTAATTAATTAATTAATTAATTAATTAATTAATTAATAATAATCTAAACTCTAATAATAACAATTTCATTTAGTTTTCCACACAGTAATGAATGAAATGCTGACATATCGGGCTACTGTGAATGTATTTTAAAATAAAGCTTTGGCGACCCCTAGGTTGGGAGCCACAGATTTACTGTGTGCCTTGCTTTGTGGCATTAAAGTGGAAACACAGACTCACTCTCCGTTAGCTTCCAGCTCACAGATCTCAAAGAAGACCATGAGGTCATATTTGGCGTGACAAGGTCCTGCGGTGGAGCGAGTCAGAGTGCTGAGCTTTGTGGCTGGCACTGGAGGAAAGAAGAGAGGACAGATCAATGACAGAGTAAACAATACTGTACTAAATTGAACTGAATTGACGACTAAATATACTACATATTCATAATTAACAACATTAAATGTCACAGCCAACCTGGTTTGGATAAGGGCATCACCCTGGGGAACTGCCTCCTGGAAGGTCTCAGTGGACTAAAAACAAAGAAAACAAACTTGAGGAAACTTTCCTTCTATCTAAAAAATATTAACTCATTAAATTTAAAGGTCAGATTTCTCCCTGACCTGATCAGGTCTTTGCAGAGGGGAGGGAAGGGCTGTTTCTGATAGTGACCAAACACCTCGAAGACGATGGGCTGAGTCTTGATGTACTCCACGAAGGACTTTGTCACCTCCACTGTGATCTAACAGAGGAGAGAGGCAATTCAAATACATAAGTAATAGATAATCTAAGAACATATTTTAAATCAGGTTTAATATTTGTTAATAACAGGTCTGAATTGGCTGTTTGGAGTTTACATTTTGAACATGGTAGAAGCCCAGCGGAGGTCCTCTGCCCGTGTTCTTCAGCGGCTCAGTGGAGAAAGCTTCGTCATGGCGGTGGATGAAGCTGAAAAAAGTGAAGCTGTTATATAGACTGAACTCCCAAACATTTACAATCAGTTAACATTTACTGACATTTACTACTTATTGTTATAAATTAGAAAATGTAGCCAGCCAATTGATTTTACTTTTGTGTAGCAGCTTTAACTGCAAACTGGTTCTTAAGATCATATTTTAGTGCTAAAACAATTAGATATGAGCTTTATTAACAACATATGTAAATTAAGAGGTGTACATGTGCATGCATTGATATACTATTGTTATTCAAAAGTACAAAACTCCAGTTGCAATAATACTTTGACAGATATCAAATGAATGTATTTATTATGGTAAGGTTAAATTAGCATTCATTAGACTGTTCACAGAAGAGAGGATGCTAACAAAGACAAGGATGAAACTGGAAGCATTTACTGAGAATTGTATGTCATATAAAGTACATTAATATTAGACTGACAATGTTATTTAAAGGACTTTGGTGCTTGAACTCACTTGAACTGGCAGAAGATGTCGGCGTACTCGGCCGAGATGCTGGAGGCCTGTAGGACGGTGACTCTGAAGGTGAAGGTGCTGCCGATCTTCAGGTGGGACAGAGCTTTCTCTGGGGAGAGGTCCAGAGGAAGATCCAGACCCAGACCTGAACCCTTCACTGGGCTCGGTGGAGCCTCCTGGCTGGCTACTTAAAACAGGAAAGGAAACACAGAAACACTCATGTATCTGGTGTTTTAGATAATTTTCCTATTAATAATGATGACAAATATGTCATTATGTTCCAGTAAAGGTCCAGCATTTCCATTTCTCATTTAAATTCTGGTTGCTGGAGAGGATTTTCCACTGTGATCTGCACACTACCTGGACAGGTGTTGTTGTTGACTTCATCAGCAGAGATTCCTATATCGGCATTCTGTCCTTCTCCCTCCACGATTCGCAGCTCCTCCTGGGAGGTGTTGGAGTGGGAAAGACCACCAGGACACGACTCAGTCTGGAACTGGAGACAGTAAAACAATCAGCTTAAACTCCATTTAAGATAAGATAAACATTTATTTATTTATTTACACTAAACAACAACCCTAACCCTCATGACTAACATTATATCTGACTTTTATTGGTTGTAGGGGACACCAGTATAAATGTCCTGCTATGAAGTACCTTCTCAAATTGTTTGTCTTCAAAGGAGATCTTGGCAGTGCCTGACTGCCTCACGCCAGAGCCATAATCAGGGGCCTCTTCATCAGCTAAAGTGAGACAGAAGGAGAGGACAAGATGTTTAAAAAGTGTCACTCTCATTTTTAAATACAAAAGAACTCAAAAGAACAGCGACAATGGCACAAGACTAATATTTTGTACCTGAGATGGCCTGCACAGCCACTCTGAGGAAGCCTTTCACCTCTCCTTTCTCACTGACAATGGCCACGCGATGTACCAGGGGCACCGGGTACAGCAGGTTACTCAGGTACACAAAAGCCCTGAGGAGAAGGAGGAAGTGATTTTAGAGTCTATTGTGCAATAAAAGAGCAGGATTTAAATCAATACTGCCTCAGAGGAGACGGACTGGTTGCTGTTTAGTTGCTAACGGACCTGCCGACCAGACGGAACCAGGGGAAGCGGTCGTAGAAGGGGTCGCCTCCGGTCAGAGCGTGGTCACAGTCCTCCACAGCACTGCTGGGGAGCTCTGCAGCACGGTCGTACATTTCTCTCATCAGGTCCAGCCTTTGCCTGCAGGGGGAAGTATAAGAGAAACTGACTAAGGGCCTGCCTATCAGTAGTTTATGTGCTGGATCAAAATGGTATGTAAGAGACAGCCTAAATAAAAGACAATAAAAAACACATATTAAAGTAGATTAGAGGCACTATGTTTATGTGTGTGTGTGGTGATGTGGTCTCCAAAATTTCCAATCTTTATAACAAATCCGCTGTACCTGAGTTTCTCCAGAGTCCAGTAATGTGTGGCTCCGTTCTTTTGATCTTGGACTTCAACGGCTACGATAGTTCGGGGGAAAGGTCGTCTCTCCCTCTCTTTGGCCACACAGGGGGGCAGCAGGTCGGGGGGCAGGGGGGAGTAGAGAGTGTCTGTCAACAGGACGAACTGGAACTGCACCTGTGGGTTGATATAAGACATAAAACGTTAGAGACTGCTTGTTTATATCATTGCATCATATCTGCAGTGGATGATAGAGAGAAGAAAGAAGGTCTGATATGGTCACATTTGTGTTCATTAAACAGTAACATGTTAACAAGTGAAGCAGATTAAAGTCAGACACTAATACTGTATTGAATATTAATATTAAATACAGTATTAATAACCTACAGTTGCACAAAATCAGAAGTATTTCTTGGCTTCAATATTTGGCATAAAATTAAGAATTCGATCTTTTTGTAATACAACATGCAGCTCGGAGGGCTGGCTGAAATCAAAAACAGGATGAGACATGACGCAGTAAGGTTTCATTTTGGCCTAAATAAAGTCAAAATTATGCTTCGTCATATCACCTTTGGCTGGACTTTACATTCAATATGAAGCACTGTGAATTATATTGTGATGACTCACTAGAACACAATCAATGTTTTTTGAGAGACCCACACTGACACACTGAAATTAAATTAACTTTGCTCAATGGCCACTGACAGACACTTTCCAATCTGCACTCTGTCTCCTGTCTAGACTGAAGAGCAAACTCTTCATGCACCAGCATCACATTAAAATGATGCTAAATTTGCACTCTGACTTTAGATTATGATTATTTTCAAAAATAAAATATTATGATTTTAAAGAGGGATTCACCAAGACAACAACAACAGATAGATAGAAAGACATTTACACTAAAAACTGTTGTTGTTATTTAGAGAAATCTGATTTATGTTTACCTAAACTAAATAAATGTATATAAATGCTGACATAAAACACATCATATATCATAGTGCTGACTAAGGTCGGTGTGTTAAAGTAACAAACACCTTTTTCTTCAGCTCCACACTGATAGCATTGGCCTCTTTGAGGAAGATGGCGTTGCCCCACAGCAGATCCCTGAGAGAGGTGAACTGGTAGAAACGCCACTTTCTGAACGCCCACAGAGCCAACTCGGTCTCACGCGCCGTCCATGGCACTGGAGGACATGACACATGATACTTGAGTACATTTTGACCAAATAAAAGCCCAGATTCAGAGATTACTTTTTGATAAGTCTGTAACAGTTGAAAGTGACAGTACCACCTTCCTCTTCAGGCTCCTCTTCCTCTTCGGGAGACTCCAAGTACCGAGAGTCTACTTGTTTCTGAAGAGCTTCCAGTTTGCTCTCGTAGTCCTGAAAGAAAACATGAGATCCAAAATCAAAATGAGGGTGTTTGACCATAACTGTTAAATTACTGTATCAAACAGAGCTTGCACTCACCAGCCTCTGCTGTTCTAGCAGGTTACTGGCTTCTTCTCTTTCTTTGCGGTACTGATCTTCAAGCTCCTGAAGCCTGAAAGGGATTCAAATGTTAACAAAGTTATATAACTAAACCTAAGTAAATGATAATGCGGTGATCACATTCATCATCATCAATTTAATGTCTTCTCCACACACCTCTGCTCCATCTCCTGCTTCATGTCGATGCCTTGTTTCTCCAGCAGCTCTCTCTGAGCGAAGGCCCAGTCGACGGGTTCGACCGGCGTCTCGGCGCACGGCGTCCTCTCTCGCTCCAGACGAGCCTGCTCTGGGTCATTGAAGCGAAACACGTGGCTCTTTCCCATGATGATACGGTTCCCTAAAAAGTGCAGATGAATTTATTTATTACAGATTAGACCTTTGTTATTATATGTTCATGTTTTATGTAACGATTGTTTGTCTCTTCCTCCTGATATATTTCTCTGTTTACTCCCAAGATACAGTCGCTGTTTCATTTTTTAATCTGAAGCTTCACACGTACCAGACCGCAGAACAATTGGAGAGGTCACTCTCTTCCCGTTGACATACGTCTCTGAGCCCTCACATGGCTCCAGGATGACACATCCTGTTCAAGAAGATTATATAACTATTATAACAAAGTATTCAGCACATAAACAAATGACTGCCTTTTTCTATTTTCAATATGCACTTACATTTAACATTGTGATTTAACATCACAACATTGATTTAATGCTGTTATTTTTATGCCACAGAGAGAACAACCCTTACCTTCTCCCTGAGGGCCTGTGGTGCTGCTGAAGGTGCAGTGTTCATCTTTGATAAAATGGCCGCTGAGAACAATGTCTTGGCGAGTCTTGGCATTTTCACGGCCAACCCTGAGGGAAGACAAGATAATCCACTTGAGACAAATTCCCAGAAACAGCATCTGGATTAAATCTCAAATATATATATAAAAAAACCTTACTTGGTGGTGCCATCTTTAATGTAGTACAGCAGACACTCTGACATCAGTGGATCTTCGTTCAGGTTCACCAGATGAGGGGTCTGAAATGTAATTTGGTGTTTGTGTGAGTTTAGACAGTAAATATATCGATTTATTGTGCCACACTGACAAATATCTTACCTTTTTTGGGGAGAAGACGCCCACAGTGCCTCCATCTTCTCTCATGGCGACACCCATCTCAGCGAGCAGGGCCTCTCTACAGGAAGCAACCTCACGGTTAGCGTCAGCTACCTTATATCACCTCTACCATTAGTTAACCTTTTAACTCCCAGTGTTCATCCCACAAGATATGAGGACTATGTAAATCATTCTTGGACTGCTACTTCTTTTGAAACATGAATTTAAAATTAGACTGTGGTCATGTACAGCGCATTCTTGAAGAAGGGCAAACGATGAGAATGCTAGTACGCGGATGTTTAGCATTTGTTAATTAGCACAACAGAAAGTACAGCTGTGGCTGATATGAATTTCAATATGATTTGTTTTGCAGGTATTTGGTCAGGAACCAAAGTACAGGACAAAGTCAAAAGATCACTAAAGTATTTAGGATTCATCCTCTAGGGACCATGAATGTTTGTACAACATTTCATGGAAATCTATCCAATAGATGTTGAGATATTTCAGTCTGGACCAAGTGGTGCACCAACATTTCCATCTCTAGAGCTAAAAATATGATGTATTCCTACTTTCAAAATTGTCTAACAATCCAACAACATCACATATCCATTAACCAACCAACTTCATGTCCATGTTCATCTCAGGTGGACTACCCCTAAAGGCAAGTGGGTGTTAAAAAGTTAAACGTACCGCAAATTTCTTATTTATATAGGAGGATAATCTGATTGAATGTTACAAAACCATGAATCATGCATGAATATGTTTGACGCACCTATCCATACGGATGGCCTCAGTACGTCGCAGCTTCTCCTCCCATGTCTCATTGAGCTCTGCGATGATTTTCTCAGTTTCCTGTTGGCAGAAAGACAGATATGTAAGTTACACCCACTGGAAGTGGAATGATTTATCAAGAGCCTTTACACCACATTTATTAGATTTTTTTTATTCCCACTCACCTTTTTTTTCACATATCTAACCTCCCATTTCCCAACTCTACACCAAGAACAATTTCACCATCATGCTCCATACCTTGAGCCTCTCGATGGCCTCCTCACTGGCCGGGCTGAAGATGCGGTCGTGGAGGTTGCTGATGGACCCGGCACGACTGGACAGGGCCGAGAGCGAGGGGGAGGGACTCATTCCTGTCATGGCATTGGACACTGTGGAGAGATCACCCCTTTGATTGACAGCCTGGCGATTATTCACAAAGTTCTTGTAATCGCACAGGTCTGCCAGAGAGAGAGGCGTTGCATGGAAGTGAGCAAGGAAGGCAGGAAGGAAGGAAGGAAAGAAGGAAGGAAGGACGGAAGGTAGGAGCAGACGCCGGGTAATTCAGGAGAGACATCGGGGATTGAGAGGAACACGCGGAGAAACATAAAAAAGGAAAAAAAATGGGGGAACAACGGGGAGGAGTACAAAAAAAAGAAGAGAAAGCTCAAATAATGGATCAAAGAAGCAGAGGTCCTTTGCTTACCAAAGCCATCGCAGACAGAGAGAAAAGGCAACTCAAACTGATAGAGCACAAAATGCCAAATTTGTAGTTGACACTGAACTACACATGGACACACTCGACAAGCTCGCAAGCATGAGAATGTTATGAAAAAGAAAATATAAAAATATATACATCACTATAATGCATAAACATCTAATACAGCCTCTGTTTTTTTCTGTTTTTTCATGTGTTGCATGTCCTAATGTCTTTGAACTGTTCAGCACAGCCTTTGGTAGCGATGCAGGCCTCTAAGCACCTGACTTATAGCTTCAGTTAGCTCCACACACAGAGAACCAGGGTGCAAAGAAAATAGTTTCCCAGCAATCTAAAATGGCATCCTCCCAGTCAGTCCTTTCTTCCTTGACCACTAATCGTAAAAAGAAAAGCACGCTTTGACTCTGTCTGCTTTATATTCTTAATGAACCGCCATATGATCACGGTGCAAAGCCTTTTCAATGAAAAAGAAAATCCTACCCAATTCAAAATTGTGTTATGAGGATGAAAGTATTAAGAGGCTGGACTATGCAGATTAAACAAGCACATATTACCATGGAAACCAGAACTAATGGAGGAGGCCATTTTGCTGAATTCCTGAGAGTAACTTAATACAGCAACAACCTTATAGATTATTTTCTTGCTCTAATGCATCATGTAGGGTTTAAATATCTTTTTCTTTATTTATGTCCGACTCCACAAATTGGGAATGATAGTTTGGTCTCTGGTGTGGTGAGGAGGAAGGCCGGGATTTATTTCTATTAGTTGCAAAGCGCAGGCTTGCTCGAGTTATACACACATTTCAAACCAGTGATGACGGGGCCGGTGCAGCGATACGCTGATAGAACAGAGGAGAGAAGAGAATGAGTGTGAGAGACACCCACACTCCAAGTTAAATTGTCATCCTCTGTTAATTAAACTGCACACAAGGTTTGAATTCAGGTTTGTGTGTGTGTGCCTATGTGTGTGCTAGAGTTGTGTTTCCCTGTGCGACACTCACTCTCTATGATGTCTCCCAGTCCTTGTGCGTACAGCAGGTCTCTGAGGCGAGCCACCTCATCTTTCAGCTCACGCACCAGACGGTTGTTGGGATCCTCGTTAATCACAGCGTTACAGCGGATCTGTTTGGCACGATCAGCATATCTGAAGAAACAAAGGTCATTGAGGTTAAGAATCCGTTGCACTACGCAGAATGATTCCTCAGGCTGAATTACAATGACCAACTAAAGACAATATGGGCAAACTAAAATGAGAGGGATGCTACTGAGCATTAGCTCAGCAAAACTCACGAGAGAAATTATCATGCATGCATTTGTTAAGACACAAACACTTTAAACCACAAACAATGTGACACTACTGAGCTAAAAGAAACCATTTTCCTCATATAATATGCAAAAGTGTGGAGCAAAATGCTCCAAAATCTAATCTGCGGGTTGAACCTGTGGTGTAAGTGTGACATTATCTTTAAAAAGCTATTCCCTGGGGGAAAAAAACCTGATTTAATGATCTTTGAAAAGAGCCTTCATTGACATTGTCCTCACCGGAGGGTGCTGAGGGTCTCATCATAGTTAATATCAGCAGGGCTCAGGGCAGCCACCATGGCTGTACGAGAGTTTCCTCCTAAAAGACACAGAAGTGAGACAATGCATGAATTAATACTGAAAATGATTTTATTGTGGTAAAAGCTAAGGATTATTATTATCTGTGCATACCCAAGTTTTCCCTCAGTAGCCAAGTCAGAACTGAATCTCTGTAGGGGATGAAACTCTCCACCTTCTTCTTTTTCTTGTTCTGCAGAGAAAATAAACACAATCTCTTCTCTAAACATGTCGGAAAAATATTTTTTAAGTATTGTATATATTCTATTGGCTGTTTCAAATGTGTGGTAGTTGGTATTACTGACCTTGTTTGGTGCCGAGTCCTGATAGTTGGAAGAGAAATGCCAACATTTGTTATTTATAACATAACATAAAAATTGTAACAGCATATCTTTGTGTCGTGTAAAAAACATACCACTTCAGCAAGAGCTGAGATAACCTTCCCCAGTGTCGTTAGAGATTTGTTGATGTTTGCTCCTTCCTGCAAAGATAAAAAAATTAAATATTTCTTATTAAGAATTTATCCATCTATTCACGAGCACATTTTATATTTGAAATACCTCTTTCAAACAATCTTAATGTGTTTCTATTTCCTCTGTGTGCAGAAATACGATAAATACGACCTTAAAGGCTTCTTCTCACCTTCAGTCTGGTTCCTTTAGCTCCGGTTGAGTCGGCTCTCTCGCTGCCAGCGAGGTCCACCAGACTGATCTTGCTGACCTACAACGACACAAAATACACGTGGTTACATGTGGTTATCATTCAATACAACAAGACATTCATCAGACACTCAGGCCATAAAAGATAATAAATGCATCTCTTCTAAGGCCGCAGTGGTGAACAAGGCTGAGAATAAGAAAACTATTCCTCTTATTAATTTGTTTGTCTGAGAGGCAGAAAATCATCATCCTCCAGTCATGCAGCGTGATTTCTAAGGCAGGACTTTGAGCTGAGCCTGTTGTCAGAACCTTTTCAGATGTGTTTTCCGACTCCATGTCTTGTCTCTTCTGTGTGAATATGATGTTGAAGACGGCGTGGGAGCGGCTGCTGGTCTCGTTCATGTTGGTTGCAGCCACAGTCCTTAAAGAAAGAAAAAAAATGCTGCGTTAGGTGCATATTGCTGACTCATTATCTGCTCCATCCATCTTTTGTTACTACAACTGATTAATTTATTCATGCATCAAAAACCTATCTCAGGGAGTCCAGTCTCAGTCTCGTTACCTGGCCTTGTTTCCAGAGTCCATCAGGTCCTGGATGTCGTTGTATGACGTGACGGCGAGCTTGGACAGATCTTCGACGTAGGGTCCCATCAGAGGGTGCTCTCTGACACGAAGGTTTCCTTTGTTCTTGGGATTCAGCAGGTCGCGCACGCGCTCACAGTAGATCTCCATATAACTCACCTGCAGGAGGCAAGTTATTAAATCATAAGCTGGTTATCATGGTTATCGTTACTACTTGGTAGCTCTTGGGGCAATAAAAGGTTATAAATGAAGTGAATTAGTGTTATGACTATCTAACAGAAATATTTGTTATGCTTCCTTTAAATTATCTGAAAAACTACAATTTATGCCCGAGAGCATCACAACTTAATTCATCAAGTAGACTTTTGATATTCATAGTTTTATATGTCCACGTTTGTACAGGACATTGTGAATAGAGTAGAGTTGTTCCGATACCGATACCAATGTTGGAAATGCCTCCTATACTGTCTAAAATGCAAGGTTGTGTATCTGTGATAACGCTAACTGTGCACCAATCCGATACCATATTACTTATTAACCCTGAAACTGGACCCTGCAACTTCCCAGCAGCGCCGTGTTCGCCATTTTTCAGGATAGCGAAGTCATGACGTGGCCTACCCTGGCTTTGATTTGCTTACCCTAATAATTCTCCCCCCAACACAACCTAACCAATCTAACCAACCCAAACCAACGAAAGCAACAAGTACTAGCCAATCAGAGGCAGTGTAGGGCAGGTCATATAAGCTTTAAGAGCAGTGAAGAAGAGTTGATTTCCAGCAGTGTAACATTAGCCATAACTAGCTAAATGTCAGCAGTGTGATTGTCAAACTAGGTAAAAAATTATATATATATATATATATATATATATATATATATTTTTTTTTTTTTTTAATGCACTTGTATCGGATCGTTAAATGGTATCACCCGTTACACAAAGTTCAGGTATGGGAACATCTTTAAAGTAGAGTTGGACATCACTCACCTCCACAGAGTAAGACATGCTGTTCTCATTATTGCTGTCACTGATCTTGGTGAAAAGGTCTTCACACAGCTAAAAACACATAAAACAGATAGTTGTTGTGGTCAAAGTTGCACGTGAAAAAGATATTTGCTTTGTCAGTAGGAATATTCACATTTAGATTTTGTTTTTAATTATAGGTCAGAAATGTATTCTGTATTACCAAAGGTATAATTCCTTGCTGGTCTTGCTCCTGTCGCCCCATCATGGTGTAGCTTTTGCCCGCTCCTGTCTGGCCGTATGCAAATATACACACATTGTAGCCTTCAAAGGCATGAAGCAGCATCTCTTCCCCGATGTCCTTGTACACCTGCATCTGCGACGCATAGTTGATGTCCTCGGGCTGCAAGACAGAGAGACAATAAAGAATTAGAGATGGAAAGACAAACATTTGGTGCTAAAAGCAAACACGTTTCTTTCTCTATTAAGTTAAATAACATTATTATTATTAATAACTTGTTTTAGAGCAAATTTCTGATCTCACTAGTTAGCGATGCAGTGAAACTCACCGTGGTGTGTGACCAGTAAGAATAGTCAAAGTTGAAACTCTTATTTTCTTTCGGCTGTTTGGGGTTCAGGATCGCTAAAATAGAGGAAAATAGATCAGTTAGAGACATCAGAAACTAAGTCACTCTTATAACCTGCATATTCTTTTTTCCCTGCAGTCTATTTACAGTCAGTTCTACATACAAACTACAGGATGCAAACTGGGAAAACATTATGGTAAATGGACTGTACTTGTATAGCGCCTTGATAATCTTCCAACCACTCAAAGTGATTTTACACAACAGGCCACATTCACACACATTCATACGGTGATGGCAAAGGCTCATCACAAACGTAAACGATCCATTAATTCACATTCACACATCGGGAGCAATTTGAGGTTCAGTATCTTGCTCAAGGACACTTCAACACACAACGGGAGGAGCCGGGGATCGAACCGCCAACCTTTTGATTGGTGGGCGACCCGCTCTACCACCACAGTTGCCCCTGATGACTCAGCATCTTTCAATGCAAAACATTCTTGCACCTTTATCATGTCATAACACACACACACACACACACACACACACATATATCTCATTACTAAACATTTTCCATCATGATCAATTCAGTCCAGTTGTGTCAGAGACAGAAGTGCAGTTTTGAGAACAGGTGACACAAACAAATTTGCCAAATTTATGCTCCAGAAGGAGTTGTGTTCTCAAAACTCTTAATACAAAATCACATACTGGTGCCTAAAAGAAAATACTGTAACATTGTCTCCTCGTTGGGAACAAGACTGAGAACATTGTGAGCAGACTCTTTGAAACCTGCATTCAGTGTCTACACTTGTGTTAAATGTCTTGCAAACCAAGTTTTCTATTTGATCATTGTGTGAAAAGAACCAGAAATCCTGAAGAGAAAAGTGACAGCTTTCGGATGGAGGGAAACTCTTATGTGCTTATTTCTAAAGAAATTAATAAAAAATATCCACTAAAGCATGTAAATAGATGGACCACCCAGCATATAATCTGGCTTTAATGTGATTGTACCGTCCGAGGTTCAATTTCAGGCTGTTTGTTTGTTGCATGTCGTTCCCCCCTCTCTACTTTCCACCTTCAATAATGACAAAAAATCCTTAGAAAATATATAATACATAATCAGTAATGTAATACTTTTTTATTTAATAAAAACATGCCCTGCTCAGTTTAGTTGTACATTAGTAGAATAGTGTACCTCTACATTCTGCTTTCTCAACTGGTGGGGTAAAAAAACAAATCTATGTTAAAAGTTATCTGATGTCTTACTTTTATTTAGACTGAAAAGCTTCTACAAATGTCTGTTAAAGGAAACATGTTTTATAGGTTATGCAGTGATGTTATCTTATTCATATAATTAAGAATCAGCAGTTGTGATGTTCATCCTCAGTTTAGTATTAGAGATTGCAGGAATAAAAATATGTGTATTGTAATTTTTTTTTTAAAAAAGGTCATGATGACATGTGTTTACTAGACTATTTGAAAAATATATTTGCTTGGTTTGAATTTTGTAAAAGTGGGTCATGACTAAATGACCGTGGGAAAATGTGGGTCTAAAGGTGAGATCATAAAGTGTCAAAAGCTCATCAACAGACAGACGTTGATGTTGACAGATGCAGCCGTCTTAAATACACCGCTCATTATTTTTAAAGAATATTAATATTAGAATAATATTAGAATATTATATGAAACAAGAACTGAGCAGGAGCAGAGGCTCTTCAAAACTGACTACCACTGAATCGCCCCCTGTGGACAAGTTCAACACAGCAGCAGCAACGTCCTGCTGAAATACGCACCCAGCCAGAAACAACACAGTATGCATCCATCTATTAGCTACATCCACTTATCCTCGCGGGGATCAGCGTGACCATAACGCAGACAAATATAAGAAGACAACAGCTGGAAACTGTGAGCATTCAGAGTCAATGAAGTTAATGAGTTGAAACAATGCAAGTTTTAGCTCTAATGAGGTCATTAAAAACACCGACAGGCACAACAAGCTGACACACACACACACACACACACAGTTGCATCAGCTGACCCCACGTCTGGGCTCAACCAGAACAAGGAGGTCTTTTTGGTCCCTGCAGCTCGTATGATGAGAGAGTAGAGCTGCGACGGTCACTACATCCTACACACACACACACACACACACACACACACACACATACATAGAGACAGGCTTTGGGCCTGACTGAAGCTTTTGTTTCCTTCTCTAGCTTCCAAGATGCCTCCCTGCCCACTCTCTTGTTACTGGAGGGCAAAGCTGCCTGCAACGCAAATAACTGTAATTAAACGTGGCTAAATGTAGGTCACAGGAATAAGATCAAAATAGAAGCAATGTCGCTACATTTCTGGGTTCACACTCTAAAGTCGTGAGTTAAAGATACATGACCTTAAAACTGCTCAATTAGACTGTTACATATGAACATGTTGTGATTCAGGTCAGCAGACTGGACAATTACCTGACTAAGAGACTCTGAAGAATGTGTCAATACTCTGAAATTATGGCCATTTTCCACAAGTTTCTGACATTTTAGAGAACAAATAATGAATCAGCAGTCTTACTGAAACTCAGATTTAAGGTGAGCACAAAGGGCACTGGGGGTTCAATGGTGACTCCACATCCATCACAGTTCTGCAGTCAGGTCAAATACTCCAAATCGGATTTATACTCACTTGTGGTGTTTCCTGACATCTGAATGATGCACTTGCTGTCCTTCCCCATCTCTCTGGAGTTGAAGGGTCGGACTCTCACCGCCACCTTGACCGAAGCCCCCGCCATGTTGCAGGTGGGTGTTTGGGTGAGCAGAAGAGCTGAAGATCTGTGTGGCTACACAGACACACACCTGGAACCTGCACAGATAGATGATGATAGAGATTTAATACCAACGCAAGTGAATACAGACTAACCTGTCAGCTGGAAAACAGCCTAAAAATATAGAATTAAAAACAATACTCTGAATCATCCGTGTCCTGTTGTTTGTATTATAATTAAATACTGAGGACAGAGCCTTGTTAGCCTCACCAAACAGCTAAGACTATGACACATCCTCCATTTTCAGGCCCTGAATCAGTCAGCATCAGACGCACACAGCACAGCAAAACATGCTGACTAAATGGCTGGATCATTATTTGGCAGGAAGATCAACAGCATCCCTGCTATTCCACAATAAAATGGCTGCTTATTCTTCGGGCATCAACCCCTGGACTCATCTATCAGGGCTGAAAGGCCTTGTTATGAAACTGTGTCCCCCCGTCACAGAAGAAAATAACACACATTCATGTCTGGAATTAACTGTGGTGTTTTTCAGATCATCTTGACAGTAATTTCTCTTACTCTTGTTTTTCATTAAAACCTTTAAAAGGTTTTTTGTTTTTTTTTATCTGTGTTGACGATCAGATAAATTCTAAGGGTTTATATTTCAACACAGCGCGGCGCACATCCATCTTCCCAGCCTCCATCGGTGGAAAAATACAATTCCTCCTGAACAATCTTTGCAAGACACTATCTGAAGAGGAAAAATGCGACGAGGTCACAAATTCTAATAACATTATTGAATACATTCACGGTACAGATGAGATATATGTCTGAGCTGTGTAAATATTGTCTCCTCCATCTTGCTGTGCCTGCCGCACCTCAAAGACAGGCCGCGTAAACACAAACGGCACAGACTCCAAATCATCCACCACTGCGTCAGAAAGGAGGTCAGCACACATTAACAGGGCTGAAATTACATTTACAGGCTCCATGGGCCTAATTTGTATATCCATTTGATTCTGGGAGCCGATGGTGTGATTGTTTTTAAAAGCCCGATTCAAGTATTATTATTTTTTTAAAGACAATTGTTGACAGCGGCGGAATCTAACACCACACATCCTGACGCAGCGTCATTATTAAAAAGCCTCACACGTCCAAAAGGCCTCGAAATCACCAACAACACACACCTACTGCCCTCGCCGAGGCGTGACACCCATCAGTAGCGATGCTGTGCCGTGAAAAATCTTACCTCAGCAACTCACACTCGACGGCCGCGGAGGGTGAATCCTCTGCCCATTCAAAACAGCGCCAGTATCCTCCAGTCCCTCCTTCTTCAATCTCCTCAGCAGCCTGTGGTGATTTTTTTTTTCTATGTCTTTTTCTCTGTCTTTGGTCAGCCTACAGCATCCCTTTCCTTAGCGCATCCATACATGGAGAATCCGCCGGGGAGTGAGAGAGAGATTCAGCTTCAGCAGCAGCGCTGGGTGGGCTGGAGTGCTGAACGCAGCGGTGCGTCAATTAGAAACGAGAGTGGGGAGAAAGGAGGAGGGAGGGAGGGAGGGAGGAGCGAGGCCCAGATGGATAAACAGGAGGATGGGTGCGGGATGCTCCAGCGGCCTAGTCTGTCCGTCAGTCAGTCTGAGAAGAGGGGGGAAAATGGCGGCGCTGCTGTGCCAGGGATGCTGGGAGGCGGCGATGACATCAGCATCATCATCATCAGCAGCCATGAGGCAGAGCGATGCAGCACCGGGACATCAGTGGGGGAGGAGAGGGAGGGAGAGGCCCAGGGATGGACCATAACAGGCTGTAGAGAGGAAATATGGGTGAGGATTGTGTGGAGCCCAAGCTTGTCTTCTTATCTTGGTTACCATAAACATAAAAGAACATAATAGTGTTTATATTTCTTATGTATATCTTTGTTTAGAAAAATGTTCACAGTCTAAGTATTGGTAAATGGCTAACTGTCTGCATGTATTATATTAGAAAAACTTACATATTCTATTGAGGGAAAACACGAGTTATTAAAATAAAAAATACGGGGTCCTTTTATTAATTATCTTGAACACACAGATGTGGAAACTTTACTGGGTCAACAGAGTGAATTTGATGCTTTATGGTGACTGATTAGATACAGTTGGACATTGGTTATTAGAATTTATGGTTTTTGTATTTTTATTATTTATATGTATTTGTTTATTTTCTTATGTTTTATTCAGTTACCTTAATTATTTTAATTTCAAAGTCTTTTGTATATTTGTATGTTGACATACAATCCTTGTTTATGTTTCTTGGAAAACAAATAGGGGTGAAAATAGGAGACTAGAGGTTTAGAGAGACTCCAACGGACACGATAAGATGGAGAAAAAAGACCTTAAACCACCATCACACAGTCAGATCAGCTGCAATTTGATTTTCTTAAGGCAATGTGGCAAACCCTTTCTTGAAGAGTCGCTAAACCTAGAGGGGTAACACTTGATTTGGATAGTCCATCTACAGATATTAAGTATTTGTAACGTTTCAAAAGTAAAAGATATCTCTTGCGTCCAGCAGAAAAACTTTACAAACGAACACATTTTGCACGTTCATACATTCTGATTAAGCGTAGATGTCTTTTAAAGGGTTTTAATGTGGAAATTATTCTGTTCTGTGGAAAAAACATATCAGACAAACATTGTTGTTCCAGCAGACTTTGTGTAAATGTCTAAACACATCAATGAGGCAGTCCTGCGTAATGCTGTGTCCATGGAATCATCACAATCTAGTTTTGTTGTTCAGTTCAGGTTGTGCTCACATGCTGCATTATCCTTAATACAATTATGTTTAGTGAAATTACCACAAACTAACACAAATTAAGTTTTAACCCCAGCCCTTAATGAGAACATGAAGGTAACAGATTATGCACAGGGTAGCAGCCAGGGGGCAACAGCAACAGCCCACCCCTCATCATGTTACCATCTGACTATAGTTGGCTTTAAAAATTAAACCTTTATGTTCAATGACAACTGAGCAGCTCATAACTACCTGATACAGTTGAAAGCTAATGAACAAAAGGACTGAGTGGACCTTGAGATTGTTTGGTGAAGAGCTCTGAGGTGTTGAAATGTTGGTTCTCACTCAGACGATCAGGATTCGAGCTGTTTGGTTAACTGACTCTGATTTAGTATATCTTACTCTGCCACAATAGCACTGTGATAACATTATAAAATAAAGATGCACTTTCTGAGTTCAACCCAAAAATGTGGATGTTTACTTAAAAACTGACTGCTGGTTCAAGTATCATCATCATCCACAGTGTCCATTTCTAAAGCATCAATAGTGACACCATGTGGAAGGTTCACTAATGAAACGATGATTAATAAGTATGAAGAATGTCAGATAATATGTCGACTATATTTGGTGTTTAATATATAAAAATAAAATCTATGAAAAGTTGGGTGTAGTCCATACTTAATTCTTATTTACTTTTCAGAATTTTATAAATAAATTATTCAATTGTAGAAATTTATATATATGAAATTCTGAGATTTAAATCTTGATTTTAATTTAAAATAAATCAATTAAAAGCATAATTATGTCATTTGAACTAGGATGAGATTGGTTGAATTGACCTTGTAATGTCTCACTTTGAGGCTGAATGTTTATGTCCTCACTACTGAAAGCTTTAGGACGCCCCCTGTGGATGAACCTATATACATGCCTTTCTCTCTCTCTCTCTCTCTCTCTCTCTCTCTCTCTCTCTCTCTCTCTCTCTCTCTCTCTCTGTCCATCCATTCCTCCACAGCTCCTCCTCTTGCTCTGTTTGGGTAGATTTTCAGTGTTGTGTCCAGTGCAAAGGCCAATGAGATTTATTTATCAGCGGTGTAATTATTTACCCAGTCCGACTCAGACTGGGGCACCCTCTGGCAGTCCTGTTGTGTCAAAACAGTTTAATATAGGTTCAGATTCCAATCAATTACTGACAAAAGGCAAAGAATAAATACAATGTCTTAAATGTATGGTGCAACTTAACTTTTGTCAGAAGGAATCTTATCTAAAATGTTATCTCTAACATAACACATAATGTACAGTTCATGTAAATGTTTGATCTGAACGGTTTGTCATTTTGACCTATTTAAATCTTTAACATCCTTAAAAACCTGATCATACTTAATAACTTTTCCTACATTCACAGAAACAGCTGACATTAACTAAAACTGGTTGTGTGGCATCAGTTTGATCCTGAGACAACTCTTCCCTGACCGGTTTTGTTTGGATTATTACAAGGCAAAACAACTCTTGCACCATTAACAATATGGTCACACCACTGGCACTGGACAGTTCTGTAAACATGTTGCACTAAAATTTATAAAACAAGGACAGGGTTTTAAATTATTTCCATGATACAAAACCACTACTGTAATCCTCTATCTCTAATTTGAATTGAGAAAAAATAGTTGTTTTTGTTAAGTTTAGCTGTCAATCAAATTTGAGATCCATTCTGATGTGCATCAATGTTTCAACTTTATCAATCTTAATCAATAATTTCTATTCCATCTCCCTTTCCTATGTAGATAAAAAAAAATTTGAGCCATGTGACATTTTGTATGGAAATACATTTGAAAAACATTTGAAACAAGAAAACACACGTGTGTATTATCATGTCTCTCTGTGTGTATTAGTGTGTGTGTGTGTGTGTGTGTGTGTGTGTGTGTGTGTGTGTGTGTGTGTTATGTGTGTGTGTGTGTGTGTGTGTGTGTGTGTGTGTGTGTGTGTGTGTGTGGCTGCCCCCCTCCTCTGAGAGAGCAGATTGGCTCTCTGAGAGGAGACTCCTCTTTACAAACCCAGTGTTGCTGCGTGACTGGAAGTGCAGACAAAACCAACAAACCACCTGCAAACTGACCTGAACCGGTTCTCAGCTGCCAAGTACAGGTCCTCACTTCTCCCCAAGAGTTCAAGAGTCAGGTGTTATGAGTCCAGACCAATAATGAGTCACAGAAACCAGTCCTGGTCGATCCAAGAGAGTCTTTGCATTTGGGGGAAGAAATTAAATTCAAATACTGGCTTGGAAAAAGTCGTCCTTGTCGCATTTGAAGTGTGGGCTCTGTATTGTCTAAATAATAAAATAATTCAACATGGTTTGTTTTGTATATTTCCACTTGATAGTCCAAATGGGAAATAGGCCTTGATAACCACCTGCTCAGAAGCTATTTGAGTATTTTTTAATTTACAAGTTAAACTTTTACACATTGAAATGTTTGCGCCAGTTGCAGATAACAATCTCACACAAACGTGTTTCCATTTAATAACCTGGTTTGCCATTGTGTCTCCTATTGGAAGTCAAGGGTTGGGTTGGGTTGGGTGGGCGCACACACGGTGAGGCACACCGCCCCGTGGCCAACAGGTCAAAGACCTGTTTGTCTTAAATCTTCACCCAAAACTCGCAGTCAGATTCAGTCTCTCCGTCTCACTCGGTGCAGTTCTTCTCAGGAACCAGGCCACCAGCCGTGATGCAGCGGGCTTTGTTCAGCCGCAGCGCGCTCCTCGCCCAGCAGGCAGCAGCGGCCCTCGACAGTCCGCTGGCATCAAGGAGCGCGCCCCTGCTGCAGCGACTGGACCGCTCCATGTCCTCCGTTACCATCCCGCCGCCGGCATGCATGCTCCGGCCGCTGGAAGCTCCACTGCGATACCTGTTCGGACCGGGACCCTCAAACGTTCCTCCTCGTATCTTAGCTGTAGGTGCCAAACCGATTATTGGTCACCTGCATCCAGAAATGTATGAGGTAAACACTTTGATTCAAACGCAGACTAATTATTACTTTATTATTTACTGGATTCTAATTACTTAAAGGTGGAAATAAGCATTTTTACTCAAGTACTGAACTTGGGTAGTTTAGAGGCATTGATCCATTTCGTCTTTTACTACTAGTCAAATAAAACTTGGAATACAGGAAATATTAACTTAGTAAGTAGTTTATCAGCCTATTACATTTAACTTATAAGATAATAGTAATATTAATTTTGCTTTAATAGATTTAGCTAAATATTTTTCCAATTAGATCAAACATTTGAAGTTGATTGTAGTACTCCAACTATTCATTTTAACAATTCAATGTTCTACTTTTTTCAGATTTTATAATAAACAGAAAAAATAAATATTTATATGAGATCAATAGTTTGTGCGTAATTGCGCACGGGCTACAGTGTATCCACCCACTGAAACCACTAAAAGTAATTAATGAAAATACCTATTAAAAAAAATTATAAACAAAAATCTTCACATTGTCATTGTGTTTCTCAGATCATGAATGATATCAAACGAGGGATCCAGTACGCCTTTCAGACGGAGAACAACATGACGATATCTATGAGCGGCTCCGGGCACGCGGCCATGGAGTGTGCCGTGTTCAATACGGTGGAGCCCGGAGAGAGCGTGCTCGTCGCCGTCAACGGAATCTGGGGAGAGCGCGTTGCAGAAATCGCAGAAAGAATGGGTACGTCTTTACGCACGGTTTTTACGCACGCATCCATTGGGTCTCCAAAGCACATTTACAGTGACTGGGATATCTATCTATCTATCTATCTATCTATCTATCTATCTATCTATCTATCTATCTATCTATTACTGATCGCACGTTTTTAATCTTTAGGTGCTAATGTACATAGAATGGTAAAAACACCTGGAGGATATTTCAGCAATAAGGAAATTGAACAGGTAGGCACAATCTCTTAACTATTATGCTGAATACAGGACTGTTACAGTTACACTGTCATTAACAAGAGCACATAAGTGACTAAACTCCTTTTTACGTCTCTCTGTAGGCCGTAGAAAAGCACAAGCCTGTCCTGTTTTTCCTCACACATGGAGAGTCCTCTGCTGGCCTCTGTCACCCAGTGGATGGCATTGGAGACATCTGCAGAAAGTGAGCCTTAAACAGCAGAAATAATTAACAATTTCATTTAATGTGATGTAATATGTCTCACTGCTTCCCGTCATATCTCCAACAGACATAACTGCCTCTTCCTGGTTGACACAGTTGCATCTCTTGGTGCAGCACCAATCTTTATGGACAAGCAAAGTAAGACAATGATGAAGGATTAAATTCCACTGCCTGCTACCACGTGCTTGTGTGTGATATAATCTGCCTCTTATGCCCCCAGATATTGACATCCTGTACACGGGTTCTCAGAAGGCTCTGAATGCACCTCCTGGCACAGCACCCATCTCCTTTAATGAGAGAGCATGGTAAGGAGGGACTCTGTGGGCTGTTTGTGCATGTTTCCAAATATGAGTCATAAATTGTTACAACTGCATTATAAATGAGACCAAAAAGTCATTAAAGCCAGCTTTTCTTCCTCTCACAGCCACAAGATGTTTAACAGGAAAACAAAACCAGTATCCTACCTCTTCGATATGACACATTTGTCAAACTACTGGGGCTGTGATGGCAAACCAGCCAGATTGTAAGTATTATTTATTATTAGTTACTCTCTTCATACCACCAACATACTTTAACTGCTGATTGTGGGTGATACAGACAGTAAAATTAGAATAAAACATATTTTCAGGCATTTCATTGTTCTGGAACGCTTCATATCAATGTATAACAACAGTGTTTGGTATACGAATAACATCCGATCACGTGTGCTCTGGGTTTTAGATACCACCACACTGGTCCAGTGTCCGGATTTTTCGCCCTGAGAGAGAGTCTGGCAATTCTTGCTGAGAGGGTAAAGGAACATTTCACCACTTTATGGTTATTTTACTGAAAGACATTCACAACCTCTAGACTTATCTATCTTATCTTTGTTTACAATTATTCACATTTACAATCAGGGGCAGAGCAGGAAGTTCCAGCCCTGAATGTTTTCTCAAAAGCTTCAAATCATTCAGGCTTTTAAAATAACTTCAATTATGTATCATTTCCCCTCAGCCCTTCTGACTGGACCGGAGCTAAACTTCTATTATTGAGGGGAAATATCAATATACATAGATCCACCTATTGTCTCATGTGTGTCGTGTTTCATTCAGTTTTGTCACCTCAGTGAGCAAACTAGCTGGCTAACTATCTTATGGATATTGGACATAACAAAATAAACATTAATTTTGTGAACTCTACTCCACCATAGTAAATGCTGTTATGTAACTTAAAAATAATGCCAGATAATTTTGGCCTCTTTTGTGAAAATTATTCATCTTCATTATTTATTGAGTCCTGGTATCAAAATGATGAAGACAGTCGAAGAACAGTTAGATACAAACAGCTAGAGGATAATTATTTTGTTTTTCCCAAATTATGTACAGATTTTTAGGCACTTTATTATATAAACTGGTTTGTTAAATATTGCATATAGTTGCCGTAAACTGGGAGCCCCAGAACCCTCCTAGATCTGAGTAAGACCAGAATATTTATAACGTCTGACTGCCCATGTTTACAATATATTTGTCAAAATCATCTTTATGCACTCTCTTTATATTACAGCAGAGAGTTACAGGGACAAACTGTAGGCTGTGCACTCACCACATTATTTATGAGGCCTAACAGACTTTTATTTTGCCAATCACTTATATTGGCAGCATTATATCAACTTCAAACCACCTTTACGTTTAAAGTGAGGAAGAAGCAGTGTTTTCATTGTGCTAGAAAATGGACATAGCTCTATTAATCTGAATAGTGCAGTAGTTTTGTGTTGACAGTGTTGGCATTGCCCTCTTCTAACTGCTTGACTGATTATCACATAACTCCACTGATCTTTGTCTCCCTCTAGGGGCTGGAGGAGTCCTGGAAGAAACACAAGGAGGTGGCAGCCTACCTGTACAGAGGACTGGAGGACTTGGGCCTCAAGCTTTTCATCCCTGAAAGGGTGAGACAGACATAAAGTCTTATGTGCAGAAGGACAACAAAGGGGTTACCCGCAAGAAACAAAACTCTAATATAGAATATAAATCTAAAATACACACAAATAATCAGTATCAGAGTCTGTAGGATTGTTTATGTTACACATTACGTTCCCCATTGGTGTTGCAATGTCGTGACCACAGTCATTTCGTCACATGTCCTGCAGGACTTGAGGCTTCCCTCCGTCACCACCATTGCCATCCCCGATGGCTACGAGTGGAGGGAGCTGCTGGCCTACATCATGAAACACCACCAGATGGAGATGACAGGAGGCCTGGGCCCTTCCATCGGCATGGTGAGTTGTACAGTGGACACATTTATGCCTTTTGCCGTATATGGTTGCAGACCTTTATGGTGGCTATTCTAGATGTGACCTTCAGTCTCATTATCTTAACAGCGGTGGGTGTTTTAAAATAAACAGGGAAATATTCCAGGTTACAATATACAAACAAGTGTGTTTACATAAGAAATAATTAAACCAGACACCCAGACTAAACCACTTTCAACAGTTATAACAAGAGCAATCTCATCAGTCTGGTGTTTTTACAGCTCTCTGAATAATGCTGCTGAGTCACTACAGGCTCTCATTCAATGTACTTTCCACCTCTCTTTTCATTAGGTGATGAGGATTGGATTGATGGGATACAACTGCGAGAAGACTAATGCTGACATGGCACTGAATGCCCTGGCAGACGCTCTCAAGAACTGCAAAAAGAGCAAGGCTTAGGGGACCAGATCCTCAGAATAAAAAGTGATGCAGGACACCTGGAACAGTGCATGCATTTCAGGATTTTTTCTTTGCTTTTCACTGCAGTGACTTTATAAAACACAGGCCACGTGCCTCTCGTGTATAAGTAGACTAGTTTTGAAATAAAGGAGCATATATTGTCGTATGGCCCACGCTTCGTGCACTGAAAGATGTCAATAAAGTGTGCTTTATTTTATCAAACACTTCTCCTTCCTCAGTGTGTGTGCCAACTCATTCAGAAAGGGTCCACTTTGATTTATTTAAGGTTCATTTTACATACATTTAAGGCTTTAACTGTGTAAACTACATTTCCCATGATTCCTTTCTATGGTACGTCACTAGATCCACGCAGCCGCAGTGTATAAATTTAGTGACATTGTAGCTTTTAACTTTACCGGCCGAATATTATTTATTCTCACTGGACTGCAGTTTGATTGATCAATGGCGTGTCCTATGAATCACACAGGTAGGATGATGATTAACGTACAAACGGAAACTGTCTGTAACACTGTCTTTAGACATTTTCAGATCCAACTTAAGCCCACAGTTGAGAAATATGGTGTAACCTATGATTTTATCCTTGAAAACGAAAGCTAGCTAATTTTAGCTAACGTTAGTTTGTGTGATAGTAAACACGTTGCAACCGGACAGACTCCGCTCTCTGTTATCTGTCAAAGAATGAATCCTAATATTTATGATCGGCGGATCGATACTCAATGGTGTCTTGTCTGCAGAGTTTCGATTTTATAAGAGAGTGCGATGTCAAACAGTCACCTTCCTCTGTGTTTTTTCTGTGTTCTTCTTCTTGTGGAGCATACTGTAGCATTACTGCCACCTACTGTCGAAAGATGGTGAATGTGGATTTTCTGCCTCACTGCTGCTGCAAGAACTGGGAGTGTACCATTGACAGTATATGGGGGTGTACCATTGACAGTGTATGGGGGTGCACCATTGACAGTGTATGGGGGTGTACCATTGACAGTGTATGGGGGTGCACCATTGACAGTGTATGGGGGTGTACCATTGACAGTATACGGGGTGTACCATTGGCTGTTTATATAAAGCCAACATTAGATGTATGAGGCACCAACCTTCGGTTACCCAACTGTGAGGCAATGTTTTGATGATGATGATGATGATGGATGATAATAATGAATAATAATAATAATAATAATAATAATAATAATACACGTTATTTCTGTAGCACAATTCATGCATTAAAAAGTGCTTTACGTAAAAGTGACAAATTAGATTTATTGTACAAATTTATTTTATCCCCCCCAGCCAATACAATTACCAATAATGCTCTGCTTCTCATGTCCGATAGCATCTAGATTACTGATAATAAAAACACATTTTTTATTCACACCGGAGGTTAAAAAAGGCAAAAAAGGATAATTTAATGGTTCACAGCTCTGATCAAAACAAATCTGACGTCACTATTGTTAACACAACAAAAACAAACAGTTCTGATCCTTAAATGTTCATCTGTTTTTTTTTTCTAGTGAAGTAAATCAAGAACTTAACAAACATATGTTGACTTTCATAGAACATAAAGTACAAAGTAGAACAAAATGAAGAATTCAAAAGAAATAATAATAATTACTGACGATATATATTGTATATCATTCTTTATCAGAATAATATAATGAAATAAATCTCATTCCCATTATTGACCGATACTTTAATTGGCCTTGATAGAAACTCTGAATCTCTATATCACAATAACAGACTTAACTCAGAATAAAAGATTAAGATTTTTAAATGAAAGAAAAAAACTAAATCAAACACTTTTTTTTCCTGACGTGTCAAATTGTTACCTTGGTTGGTTCAGTTTGTATGGCTGTGTATTGTGTGTATGTGTATTTATTTGTCTTGTCCAGGTGCGTTTGTTTGTCTTTTTTTTTAATTTACTGTCTCTTTTACAAAAGAGATCTTGATGAGATTACCTGATTTAATTAAAGGTTATATATCCATATTCTTGTACAGAATAGGCCTTTTTCATTGAAGGCATTTTGACATGTTTTAGTTTCAGGGTCCTGGTATTGTTGACTATTGTTGAATAGGACAGAGCCATTGTTAATGTGGATTATTAGTTACACCGGAGCTGTTTCACAATGTCTTTTATCCAGTTAATAACATTTACTACTAGATAAGATATTTATTCTGTAATGTCAGCTGACTCGTAAATTGTCCTGTCGCATGATTCCAGATGTTTTGTTTTTTTTACTGATATTTACTTCAAATTATATTAAATAATTTCTTCTCTGATAATAAATCTAAACTTCCTATTAATGTAAAGTAATATAACTGTTTTGTGTGTTTTACCTCCAGTGGAGTTGAACCCAGTCCTCCTCCCTCTAGACTGGCTTCTGGGTACCTGGGAGTCAGATGAACCCGGGGAGGGCTGTTTTCCTACCATAAAACCTTTCCACTACTCAGAAACACTGAACTTCAGCCATGTGGGACAACCAGTCATCAACTTTATGTAAGTTATGTAGGCTTTCAAGCCAGTTTCACCTGTGACCATACCCAGCATCGCTGATGGGTGTGGTCAGAAGTGAACTTTGTCACACCTGTAACCTCACCCATCACTGATTACTCAGGTATTGAGCAAACCAGTGCAGAACTGCAGCAAGCTAAGAAGTTTGACCACTGGGGGTCAGCGAAAGCCACGTTTTCAGAGGGTGTTACCCTTTTAAACTTTATCACAGTAACAATTTTAGGTACATTCATCTTTAAGAGGGCGGGTCCTTGCTTTGACAGTTGGTTTGTTTGTGGTTTTTGTTACCCACTGCCATGAATTATCTCACAAAAGAGGTTTTAATTCAACTTTATTGTAAATCTACTCTGCACAAGACACAATATAAACGGTACAAGCTGAAAAATACCAGACCAAACCGTCCACCAGTCAGAACATTTGAATTCAGTATTATAGAACAAAGCACTGAGTGTTATTTATTTAACTATAGAACAGTGACTAGATGTATTAGTCACTCTTATGTAACCAAACTAGATTTTCTGGTAAGTAAAACTAACTCTAAGGGTCTTGAATTTCCCTCAGGATAAATAAAGTATCTATCTCTTTTGTCGAGACTAGAATTTCAAACTCTGATGCCTGATTCCTGTTATTTAGAAACCATGTTTGACAGACTTCAGCTGATTCCTCACTGTTGCAGGTTCAATGCCTTCCACGCAGAGAGCAAGAAGCCGATGCACAGGGAGTGTGGCTTCATTCGAATGCAGCCGGGAACCAACAGAGTGGCATTCATCATGGCACAGAACTCAGGTAGTTGAATCAGTTGCTTAATGTGGATATGCAAAATGTTTTTCTCAATGTATTTTGCATTCGTTATAGTCAATGTAACTCAGGGTCACAGTGACAGCTCAATGCAGAAACATGAATGTGGCAATTACACACACACACACACACAACAAAACCGCTTTATCTCTGTTTTGTCTTACTTTTGCTGTCTTTGTGCAATGTAGGTCATGAATTTAACGATTTAAACGGCTTTAAAACAATTTCCAATGTATATTTTTAAGGGTGTGAGTGTGTGAGAGTGTGAGTGTGATGAGTTTTAATGGCTAGCGTACTGTCTTGTCTACGCTTTGGTTATCTTTTGGTGCAGGTCTGGTGGAGATTGAGGAGGGAGAGCTGACAGGGCAACAGCTGAACCTGCAGAGCCAGGCTGTGGCCAGAATCTCTTTTGCCAGGGAGCCGCATGTACAGCAGGTAAAACAGATTATCTCTGATCACGCATTCGTCGTCAGCATTAATTACTTCAATTCATTCGTTAAGATCAAATGCTTCCCACAAAGTCAACAGAACCTTTCTCTGGAAGTTATTTAAATCAAAGTAACTTTTTTTTTTTTTGCTCCCTTTGTGCCAGTCTCCTCACCTGCTCTTTTCCATCTTTCAGATTTCAAGAGTGTTTCAGCTGCGACCAGATGGGAGGCTGGAGCAGACAGTTTCCATGGCAACAGACAGCCAGGCACTGATGCAGCACTTGCACATCACCTACCGTCGAGCATCTTGACCCAGCAGGCTAGCATTCTTCTTGTACATAAACATTTTAAACGTCGCTAAAAGAAGCTCGATCAATAATCACAGATGAGTCAGATTATGTAAACACATGTACAGCTATGCACTGGTGGGATCCTATAATGGTAAAGGAGTGATGGTGCCATATCAGAGTACCTGTTAAAATAATTTAAGCTTAAACTGGGGTTATAATGCATACAGTAATAATGGGGCATTGCCTAATCTAAAAAAATAAGGGTCCCTGTGGAGCTTTCATTATTCTTCATATTCATATAATGCATTTCCATTATGTTGTTACACTTAATGGCCTCAGTTGCGTATGGGTGCTTGCGTTATCTTAATATTTATTGTCCAGATATTTAATCTTATAGCTACAAGAGCTCATAAAGCACTGATTAAATAATGTTAAGCACGTTGTCCTCTTATCTTTAACTTTCATTGCACTATTATATTAAGATTAAAAGCTAAAGTAAGGAGTCAATACTGTTTTTGAGTGTTTGAGTGTAAAATGAAGTCAGAGTTGTTTTCATATTGGGTGTTACTGTGATTATGTCCACGTTTGTTTTATGTCTTTCAGTCGACAGGTTCAGTGGCATACGGGTAGATGATTAAAATAAATGAAAGTTATTTCATCTATATTGTGTTTCTTTGTCTTCACTTAATTTTTTATCTATAGCATTGTGTTGTTTTATGTAATCTATCAGGTTTCCCTTTAGCTCCTGCGACTCATAAAGAGATGTCAAGATTATCCCATAAAAAAGCTGCAAGACTGCCAGCTCAGTGGAAAAGATGATCATGAAATCAACATGAGTAGCCTACATGGGTGAAGATTTTAAGTTTATTATGGATTAAAAAATACATTCAGACACGCATTTATAAATTAATACTTAGTGACAACTATCAAACATACCACACAATCATCCTGAAGAGCCATTGTAGTGGTGTTTTTTTATACTGCAGTGGCTTCAATTGTTAAAGTCTTGATCAAAATAAAAAAATAAATAAGCTATTTACAGGTTAAAAAGGAAATCAGTACCACCAAAATATGTGGATGCAGCACATACTCTTCTGTCCTTAAGGTCTTTGGCCAAAATTGGGCAAAATTAGACCCAACATTTCTTGGTCAACAGTGTCTAAAACTGCAAAATTGGTCACAACATATTGGATCATATTTGGAAAGAGACACCATTTGTGCTTTGGTAAATTACAATAATGTAAATCGATCCCATGAAGTTGATACCACCTGACATCGGTCTCTAAAGTGTAAAATCACTCGTGAGAGAAACGCCTTTCTTCATCATCTGATATCTATTAAGACCCAGCCAGCTGAGCATCAATTATCATTACAAACATGGCTTTCGCCATCATTTCTCCTTCAGGTATATTTCTGGAGACAAACGTCACATGAAAGCATTGAACTGTTTTATCTCAGGAGTGCAAACAGCCTCCCGTTGCTCACATTCAACCTGAAACACCGTCATACGTTACAGCCACAACACTGGAGAAGCCTGGTGTACTGCACTGGTGTAAGCAGTGTGAAAATATGCAGAAGAGGTGGAGTGACACAAACTTGTTCCATTGCCATTTATGCTCTTAAATGTCACAGTGACTACTCTTTGGATGAAGGGCAATCACTTACAGACTTATCTGATAACACAAACATGATGCTGATGAAACATTTGTTGATGGCCATTCAGCGACAGATGGATATCTGCTGGCAGGCTCAGTCCCCATCAAGCACAGTGACCATCCCCACTCCATCGTTTATTGACAAGTCTGAGATTTTAATCTCCTATCCAACAATGACGACGACTCCTCCTGTGCGCTCTGGCTCGGCCGTTCACGGTTCTTTCATGATGTAGATGTACATCGTGGTGAGGAAGTACTTCAGGGACTCCATGGTAGAGGATAGCCAGTGGTGTTCGGGGGTGAGATCCTTCTTCACCACACACTTTGTGATCTCCGCCTGATAAAAGGACATGGATATTTTAAAAATCAGACAATAATGAAACATCAAGGTTTAACATTAATACATATATATATATTATGGGCTGTGAAGTGAAACTACGGTGGCTGCAAAACTTGTGGAAAATGCAAAAGCCCCATCTAGAGCCAGTGTTTGGTTTGTCTATTCAGGGCTACTGTAACATGGCGGACACCATGTAAGGAAACCTACCACATCTCTAGATAAAAATGTCTCTTTCTAAAGTAACAAAAACATAATGATTCCCATATTCAGGTGTTTATAATGAAAACACACTTATTAATATTATAATCCATTTCTGCCAGTAGATCCTCCTCAATGTTTTACACTGGACCTTCAAAACAAATACAGTTCAACTATCATGAGGAGGAAACTAGGGCTGCACAATTAATCAAAATATTATAAAAATTGCATAACTGCAGAAGGTGCAATTAAAAAAACAAAAAAGGTAAAATGTGACCAAACATTATAATTATAATGAAGTGCTGTGACTCTGAAGAGATGCTCTGACATTTTTGTTTGGTACAGACCCAAAAAAGATTCACATCATGATTTCAACTGTTTTTTCAGTGGAAAATTAAAAAAACTAATTAAAAAGTAAAGCTGGTGAACAACCTCATGTATTGTTTAATTTTGGTGAATTTCATGTATTATATTGTATGCTTTGATGAAAGCTTCACACCAAAACACATCTGTAGTTTTATTAGGCTATTAGCTGTAAATAAAATTCACCAAAATGATCAAGACATGAGGTTATTCTTTCTTGTTATTTTTAAATCACTGAGCAAACAAACACATTCAAAGTTATGTCTGATGTCTGATTTATAAACTAATCTTATTTGAGTCAAGCATAAAAATAACTTAAGTGCTGCACCTAAAAATAAAGAAATAAAGAAATAAATATACCACTGCAATCATTTTCATTAGTTGAGCCAACAGGAAGCTACAGTATGAGCAAGCTACCATCAGATTCACATACCTAACGACCATCAGAGCTTATGAAAGCAAACTGAGGTCTGATCCATAAACAAGATTACAGGATCATTTCATCATCTAGTTTCAGCAAGAGAAATGTCATAGACAAGTTTGTTGTCTGTGGTTATTTTCTCTCTCGTCATCTCAAATGTCAGCTTGTTTAAATGTCACATTTCCAGCGGCATTAATCATATAAAAATCTGTTCTTCACATACAGCTCATAAGCATCAGCACGTACAGCAGCGGCCACTCACCCATCCTCCCCGTCTCTTCAGCCAGTGAACCAGAAACTTGCGGACAAACTGACCCAAACTGTCCACTAAGATATGAACAGTGGTTGGATGTCCTTGTCTAACACAATCCACTGCCAGAGCTCCGGCGACTGCGTACATGGATACCACCTTACCCCACGTTATACCTACAGAGAGAAAGAGACATCACAGGGTTATGTTTCATGACTTTATTATGTCTATCGATAGATGTACAAGCTCAAAAATGTGTTTTACTTATTGTTGCTTCACTGTGCAGAAGCTGTTTTCAAATTCATCTGCTGAAGTTTCTCTCCGTTTAGATTAAGGAGTAGAACATTTCTCTCCAACTATTTCGATGATTATATTTGATTTCTATCGCTTTGATGAAAAAATGCCAAAATTATCTGTTTACAGCTTCTCAAATGTAAATATTTTCTAGTTTCCTTATTCTTTTATTATTCTAAACTGAATACAGTAAAAAAAAAACAGACATTTGAAGATGTCATCTTGGGCATTGGAAAACTGTGATTAATTATTGTATTTACTGATAATGAGAATAACTGTTAGTTTCAGCCCAATCTGTATATTAGACGTGTCCATACGAGCAGCACATGTTTGGTGCCAATCATGGTCCAATATGCAAACTTACACAAATATGTTGCCACCTTATATATACTGTCAATGGTTGCCACCCAAGTTTGGTATCAAATGCTGTCAAATGCAACTCCACCCTTTTCAAGCATGCAGGAGAAACTGCGGTAGCCACAAAACCCCTAAAAAAAACCCTTGGTTTGCCTGTTCTGGTCGACTGTAGAAATAGTGGCCTCTATGGAAGGCAACCCACTCCCTCTGTAGATATAAGCAGCTCATTGTGTAACAAAAACAAAATTTTTCTTACTTTCAGGTGATTATACACTAATACAAAAAACACAAACATACCTAGGAATATTATATTCCATTTCTTGCCCTAATCCTCCTAAATGTTACACACTGGACCTTTAAGTTCAATGAAAAAAGACATGTATTAGGCAAAATGTCCTAAGATTTGGAAAAAAAATAAAGATTAAGATATTTGTATTCAATACTTTACTAAGTTGCCACAATAACATAATTAATTTAATTTACATAACTAAAAAAAAGCAATTAGATACAAATTATTAGTCAAAGCTGATATTTTTATATGCTTTAAAACATATTTGGATGAGAGAATGTTTAAGCTTCAGTAATTCAAGCTGATATTGATTCTGTCTCTCAGTCACAGAGCAGTTGTTTGATAAGTGAGAAGCAAAAAAGAAAATCACACTTTATCCAGAAGACATGAGTCAAGCCTCCAAGCGGACAGAATTTCCTGACCAGAATCAATAAACTGCCATATTTATCCCAACATAAACACTCCTTTCCTGCTCTCGTGGCATTAACACCAATCTCCTCTATGGTTTCTCTTTCCTTACAGTCTGTTTCATGTTCTGTGACCTGGAGTGAAGCATGTGGGGCAGCCGGTGGACCTTGTACTGAAATAAACTGTAAATATCAGGTTTAAGTCAACAAACCTGCATTTGTGTTAATGTAGCTGATAACACGTCTTACTGTGCCAGTTGTAAATTAAAGAGGGTGCGACTGTGGTTTTTTTCGCCTTTGGCGAGTGGTGGGTGAACACTGACGCGGTTACAGTGAGGAGGGCAAAAGGTTCAAAAAATTAATTTTGCATTCACCACAAAGAAGCAATCGAGAGTCATAAATCTGGAAAAGGGCAGATTCTTTGTCCTCAATCCAGTCTGATAATTAAGGGCATCCGGCCCTTTCCAGGTATAGGTTTCAGAGCAGTAGGGATTGTTAAAACGACCATCAGTGATGGAGTGCAGGGCCTAATGGCATTAGCCTCCTTAGGCCGGCTTGCATTGTCATAACTGTTCCTCAGAGCTGACCTACAGTGGCTGACTGTGGCTATAAGGGGATAGTGCTCTGGGCAAGCTTAAATGAGATAACTGTCCACGGAAGCTGTCAGAGTACGTCACGTCTCACTCCCTACTGAGAAGCAGGCCAAGAATAGAGACAAGATTGTCAGGGATAAAGCTGGAGGAGAGGAGGACGGAAAGAGAAAGAACAGAAGTGGGAGGCAGGCAAAGATAGATGGAGGAGAGACAAGCCATGTTGATTTTACTGAGGAAGACCACAGTACAGATGGCTGTTAAACCGCCTCCAAAAAAAAGTATGATGTGGTCACTGGACTTATCATTCCTCTGTGAAGGAATGTAAAAAATAAAAAGCTAAAGTAGTTATAAAACAAATTCCGGACAGCAAGAAAAACAATCTTAGATGCACTTTTCTATTTATATCCAGGTTTCAACCCATCCCAGAAGGCTGGGGCAGCCTGGGTTCACCAGTTTGTTATTCTTCAGCAGGAATCCCACGCCGTTTCCAAAAAT